CAGGTACTCAGGAGGCTGAGGCAGGAGAATTGCCTGAACCCGGGAGGCGGAGGTTGCGGTGAGCCGAGATCGCGCCATTGCACTCCAGTCTGGGTAACAAGAGCGAAACTCCGTCTCAAAAAAAAAAAAAAACTTTTTAAAAATGTTTTTTATGTTTTTAGAGTTGAGATCTTGCCATGTTGCCCAGGTTGGAGCGCAGAGACGATGATGGTTCACTGCGGCCTTAAATTCCTGGGCTCCAGTGGTCCTCCTGCTTCAGCCTCCAAGGCGCTGGGACACCAGGTGTGGGCCACTGCATCAGGCCAAGGAGATAACTTTTTGTAACCCATTTAACCAAGTATAACCAGAATATTATCATTTTTATCATGTAATTAGAAAATTTTTCCTGCCGGGTGCTGTGGCTCACGCCTGTAATTCCAGCACTTTGGGAGGCCGGGGGCAGGTGGATCACCTGAGGTCAGGAGTTCAAGACCATCCTGGCCAACATGGTGAAACCCCATCTCTACTAATAATACGAAACTTAGCTGGGTGTGGTGGCACCCAGGTACGCCTCTAATCCCAGCTGCTTGAGAGGCTGAGGCAAGAGAATTGCTTGAACCTGGGAGGTGGAGGTTGCAGTGAGCAGAGATCACGTTAATGCATTCTAGCCTGAGTGACAAGAGTGAAACATTCTCCAAAAAAAAAAAAAAACAAAAAAAGGTTTTTTCCACGGGATTTGGATGCGTGGGTGTGTGCGAGTATATGCATGATTATTTCCTGTATATTTCGCGCTCTGAACAGCTCCATCCCGCCAGCCACATGTTGGGTGCTCTGTACGCCTCTCTGTGGGGGTCTTCCTGCAGACCCCCACGAAGTGCTGTGGGATACTGCAGGGTTCATCCGGAAGCGTTGGGTTCTGCGCATCTGGAGCGAGACCCAGAGGGCCGGCCTCCTCCCCTCTGGTCAGGGGCTGGGGGCGGGAGGGTTGCCAGGCCTGCTCCCTCCCGTTGGAGTCCTCTTTCCTCCTGCTCACAGTCAGGGCCCATGGCAGGGTTCCCGTCTCCCTCCTCAAGCTGGAATTCCAGCCTGCTGCAGTCCCTGCGGTTCCTGTCGTTCCTGTCTCTCCACAGCGTCTTCCCCGGTGATCATTTGACCGAGGGCCCTGCCTCCCCTGGTTTTGGGGTTTCTTGTCACAGGGAGTCGCTGTCTCAGAGTGGTGGCCGCGGGAGCTGCAGGTCTGGCTGAGAGTGTTTTCGGCTGTGGTTTGCGCGTCCTGAGGCTGCGCAGGTCGGAGGGGGCTGTGTGGGGGTCTGGCCAAGTTCCTCTTCCCAGGATTCACAGCCAAGCACTTCTCACAGGTTCTGGGCTTTACTGGGGCAGAGAACGTTCCCGGGAGCTGATGACTCACGGGTGTGAGGGCTGGGAACGCTCTGATTTACTGGTGTGTCACCTGCCCTGGTCTGCTCTCCTTGGCAGTGTGACATTATTTTAGGGGCCACGTAAGTGTTCTAAAAATGAGTGCCCCACAGAAGCAGTAGCAGGGTGAATGCGCCTCTGTAGCTGCTGTGAGCCGTGCCCTTTGCCCCGTTGCCTGTTACGCCGTGGTGCCTCGTTCCCTGTCATTCAGCTGGGGAAGCTGTCCTTACCAGGCAGTGTGCCCTGAGTTCCTGCCCCCATCCCCTCCTTCCCTGTGCTGCCTCCTGTCCAGAGCTACTTTGTGGTGTGGGCTGCTGTGTAGACCAAGGGCTGGGGGCCAGGGCTTTGTCTGTGCAACTTCACCAGGCTTTTCTTTTTTTTTTTTTTTTTTTTTTTTTTAGTAGAGACGGGGTTTCACCATGTTGACCAGGATGGTCTCGATCTCTTGACCTCGTGATCCACCCGCCTTGGCCTCCCAAAGTGCTGGGATTACAGGCGTGAGCCACCGCGCCCGGCCACCAGGCTTTTCTGAATCCCGAAGGCCTAGCGGTGACCTTCCCTCTCATGGTGGGTGGGGAGGACCCCTGACTGAGAGTGGACATCTAGGAAAAGGAGCCTTGGCCCTGAGGCCTTTCCAGCACAGGCCTGTTCCTGGAGGGCCCAGGGGACAGGCGGAGCAGGCCACAGAGCTTGGGTGTCCGTTCCAGGGCCCGTGGCCAGAGCAGCACGGGTGCCTCATAGCCCTGGTGTGTGGGGTGGGAGCCTCTGTGCAGAAGAGCCCGGTGCTGGCTTCCAGCTCTCTGTTGGAGTTTATTTATTTATTTATTTATTTTAATTTTATTTTACTTATTTTTGTTTTTTATTTTGAGACGGGGTATTGCTCTGTTGCAGTGGCTGTTCACAGGTTTGATTCCACTACTGATCGGCGCAGGAGTTTTGACCTGCTCCATTTCCGACCTGGGTCGGGTCACCCCTCCTCAGGCAACCTGGTGGTCCCCGGCTCCCGGGAGGTCACCATATTGATGCCAAACTCAGTGCGGACACCCGATCGGCATAGCGCACTGCAGCCCAGAACTCCTGGGCTGAAGCAAACCTCCAACCCCAGCCTCCACCGTAGCTGGGACTACAGGTACAGACCACCCCGCCCAGCCTGACCTTTTTTTTTTTTTTTAAGGTGGAGTTTCCCCCTTGTTGCTGAGGCTGGAGTACAGTGGCGCAGTCTCGGCTCACTGACACTTCTACCTCCCGGGTTTAAGCGATCCTCCTGCCTCATCCTCCCAAGTAGCTGGGGTTGCAGGCTTGTGCCACCACACTTGGCTACTTGCATATTTTTAGTAGAGAGACGGTTTTTCCATGTTGGTCAGGCTGGTCTCGAACTCCCGACCTCAGGATCCACCTACCTTAGCCTCCCAAAGTTCAGGGATTACAGGTGTGAGCTACCTTGCCCGGCTCGTGTTGGAGTTCTTTAGCCACCTGTCAGCAAGGGGCCGCATTTTCACTTTGCCTGACCCCTTGAGTTCCACTGCTCCCTCACCACCCTCTCCTGCTCTGCTGTCTTCTCTGCTCTCCCGGCGCCTGCCTCCTCCCTTTTCTTCTTATACCTTTTGAGATGGAGTGTCACTCTGCCGCCCAGATTGGAAGGGAAGTGGTGCAGTCTGGGCTCACTACAGCGCTGCTTCCTGGGTTCAGGAGATTCCCCTGCCTCACCCACCAAGTAGCTTGCATCCCTGGTGTGTGCCACCACATCTAGCTAAATTCTTTTTTTTTTTTTTTTTTTTAGAGACGGAGGAGTTTTGCCCTTTTTTTTTTTCTTCTGTTTTGTGACAGAGTCTTGCTCTGTCACCAGGTGCCAGGCTGAGTGCAGTGGGGCCATCTCAGCTCCCTGCAACCTTTGCCTCTCTGGTTCAACCAGTTCTCCTGCCTCAGCCTCCTGAGTAGCTGGGACTACAGGCACACACCACCAAACCCAGCTAATTTTTGTATTTTTTAGTAGAGATAGGATTTCACCATGTTGGCCAGGATGGTCCCAATCTCTTGACCTCGTGATCCACCCACCTTGGCCTCCCAAAGTGCTGGAATTACAAGCGTGAGCCCCTGTGCCTGGCTGGAGTTTTGCTCTTGTTGCCCAGGCTGGAGTGGAATGGCGTGATCTTGGCTCACCTCCACCTCCGTCTCCTGGGTTCAGGCAATTCTCCTGCCTCAGCCTCCTCAGTAGCTGGGATTACAGGCACGCGCCACCATGCCCAGCTAATGTTTTGTATTTTTAGTAGAGCCGGGGTTTCACCGTGTTGACCAGGATGGTCTTGATCTCCTGACCTCGTGATCCACCCGCCTCGGCCTCCCAAAGTGCTGGGATTACAGGCTTGAGCCACCGCGCCTGGCCTAATTTTGAATTTTTATTAGAGACGGGGTTTCTCCATGTTGGTCAGGCTGGTCTTGAACTCCTGAACTCAGGTGATCCACCTGCCTCAGTCTCCCAAAATGTTGGGATTATAGACGTGAGCCAGTGTGCCTGGCCTGTGTGTGTGTGTGTGTGTGTGTGTGTGTGTGTGTGTGTGTGTGTGTGTGTGTTTTGCAGAGATGGGGGTTTTGTCATGTCTTTGAGAGGCCAAGGTGGACAGCTCGCTTGAGGCCAGGAGTTCGAGACCAGCTTGGCCAATGTGGTGAAACCTTGTCTCTACAAAAAAAAAAAAAAAAGGAAAAACCAAAGTACACTTCACTTTGAAATGTTTTCTCTGAGACAGTTTCGCTCTTGTTGCCCAGGAAGCTGTAGTGCAATGGTACACCTCAGCCTCTACCTCCTGGGTTCAAGCAATTCTCCTGCCTCTGCCTCCTGAGTAGCTGGGATTACAGGCATGCCCCACTATGGCCAGCTAATTTTGTATTTTTATTAGAGACAGGGTTTCTCCATGTTGGTCTTGCTGGTCTTGAGCCTCCAACCTCAGGTGATCTGCCCTCCTTGGCTTCTCAAAGTGCTGAGATTACAGGCATGGGCCACTGTGCCCGGCCTGAAATGGTTTTAGACTTAAGAAAACATTGCAAAACACCACACAGAGAGTTTTCACGTAGCCCGCTTCGCTTCCTCACAGCGCCCTGATCCGAACCAGGAGGGTCCCCAGCCCGGCACTGCCATGAGCCCTTGCCTCTCCTGTCTCCCCCATCTTGGCTGGTCCCTTCCTGCATAAGGAAAGCCGGGGGTCTCCCATGGTCTGGACTTTGGAGGAGAGCCAACCGGGGCTCTGTGTGGCGCCCCTCAGTCGGGCCGGGCTGGTCTTCTCTGTGTTACACTGAGGGTCTGCGTCCTGGCAGGAGCTCACAGATGGGGCTGGGCCTTGGGAGGCTCGTGGTGTCTGCGTGTCTCACTGTGGTGACACTGGCCTTGTGTTTTGTCAGGTGGCGTCCACAGGTGCCCCGTTGGTTGGTTTTCTTCTGCCCTGGGAGAGGCATGCTGAGGCTGCCTGGGCCGCCTCTGACGGTTCGCCGTGGACCGCAGCCTCCCGCGGGTCGCGTCCGCAGCTGTGATTACTACAGTGGTTGCCTAACGGTGATTTTTTAAAAAAGTGTTTATTTTTATAAAAAAGACATGTGCTCTTGCTGTTTCTTAGGCCGGTCCCGTGGAATCAGGCCCCATGGAGGCTCCATCACCTGCAGTCACGTACCGGGCCTTTGCAGAAGCAGGATTCCCAGCCAGGCAGGAGCTCCCAGGCTGGAGCGGTTCCTGGTGGGCCTGTGGAGCGTGTCCTCAGGGGCTCGGGGTGTGTGGAGGAATCATCTGACCTCCAGGGAGAAAAGGGGGGGACCATGGAGTGGAGCTTGGGGCGGCCGTTTGCTTAAGGGTGGGAGAGGAGCAGGGTGGGGGCTGTAGACTCCACCCCAGGCCTCTCCCTGTGGTAGGACACGGCGTGCCAGGAATAGGTCCCCGGCAAGGTCCCTGTTCCCTGTGTGGTCCAGGGTCTAGGAGTGTCTCTGGTGGCCCCGGCTGGGCGGTGGGCTTGTCTGGTGGTCCCGGCTGGGCGGTGGGCTTGTCTGGTGGCCCCGGCTGGGTGGTGGGCATGAGAGCTACACCAGTGGGGGAATGAGACGGGAAGTTGGCGGCGGCGCTGGTCCGGCAAGAAGCGGTGGGGTCACGGGGGTGGAGGATGGCTCTGCGTCTCTGACCTCTCTCTCTCTTTTTCAGGACAAACATCATGATGCTGCTCATGAAATCATCGAGACCATCCGGTGAGTGCAGGCCTGAGGGCCCGTCGGGGGGTCTTCACTTCTGTGGACACCCGTGCTCTGCAGACGCTGTGGGGCGGCTCCCGAGGCGTAGGCTCCTGGAGTTGTTGCAAAGCAGAGTGGGGTGACCCAGGGACGGGTAGAGCTGCTTCTCCCAGCTCCCTTCCTGGCCAGTGGGTGTAGAAGTCCTGAGTTGGGGTGTCCAGCGGGGCCTCCAGGGGCATTGCCCTGCCCTCTTCTGCCTCCCTGTTAGTCTCTGCTCTGTGGGTTTTGGGCTGAGCTTCACTCCCACGCGCCCTCAACGGCCTCCTGTGTCTGTGTCCCATGGGCGCAGAGGGGTGCATTCCGGGGCAACTTGGATGGGCAGGAGGAGGAGGCCTCCCTGTCCTTGTGAACTCCCAGCCTGGGTTCCAGAGTCTGTGGTGACAGCACGGGGGGGCCTTCCAGGGTGCCGCTCTGCTGTCCACAGGGAAGCTGCCATGCTGGCCGGCATTCTGTGTGTCTCATGTGCTCAGGGGCAGAACCTCATTGTGTCCACCTGCGGGGAGGCCACACATGTCCGTGGGGCCCTGGCATCCTGCTGGGCTGCTCCTTAGCATGCTGTGCTGTGAGGCCACTGCCCGTGCACACGCCCAGCATCTGCCCAGGCCTGCGACTGCCACGAGGGCCATGCCGAGCTCCTCTTGGCCCGTGGCTCTGTGCCAGGCCCTGGCTCCGTGCCAGGCCCTGGCTCCCAAGGCCCTGTGGTTCACTGTTGGGGCCGGGCAGCCTCCCCTGGCCAAGTTGTTGGAGGATTAAGTGAAGCCATTTTTGTGGGTTGGCCAGGGTGGGCCTCACCCAGGGTCCGTGCTTAGAATGTGGGATCTGCTTTTTTTTAATGTCATCATCTGTGGACCAGGCGGTGGAGTAGGGGCCCCTTTGTTCTTTGTGAAAGAAGCCTGGTGTTATGGTTGGAGGGAGGGCTCTGCATCAGGCAGCTGGGCCCCAGCCCAGCCCCAGCCCAGCTGTAGTGTTCTCCTGGGAGCCGGCTGCCTCGCTGTGTATGGGTTTCTGTTGTCTGCATTCAGGGTCCGAGATTGTGCTGGCCAGTTGCTGTCCTGTGCGTTTTCCGTGCCTGCCCACGCCAGGCTGCTCAGATCTCTGTCCTGGTTCCTTTGGTGCATTGCAGTGACTCATTTTAGAGTGAAGCAGCTTTTCCTCCCTGGGAGGTGCTGCACGAGGTTGTGAGGTGCCACTGTGCAGTTTCCTCACGTTTTTAAGGGATTGTGGGGTGTGTTTGTAAGGGATGTTGAGCTGCTGTTTCTTTTCTTGTCATGACTTTCTTTCCTGTCCTTTGTGTGTCTACGGTTTTAGTGTCGTGGTGACGCTGGCTGCATGAAACTCTGAAGAAGTTTCCGTAGGTTTAGTGTCATATCTTGTCAGTGTTTGAGAGAATTCACCAGTGAAGCCATCGGGGCCTGGAGCCATCTTTGTGGGAAGTAAAATCTTTCACAGGTGTAGAGCTTTTGGAGATGTCGTTTCTTCTTGTGTCAGTTTTGGTTTGGTGATTTGTGTCCTTCAGCTCTTGTGATGCCTTTTTCAGCTCTTGGGTTGTGTTCATCTCACTGAGGCTGTTGGATTTACCGGCATACCCTTCCCTCCCCTCTTCCCCCTCCCTCCTTTTTTGAGAGAGTCTTGCTCTGTTGCCCATGCTGGAGTACAGTGGCGCGATCTCAGCTCACTGCAACCTCTACCTTTCAGGTTCAAGCGATTCTTCTGCCTTAGCCCTTCCGAGTAGCTGGGACTACAGGTGTGTGCCACCATGCCTGGCTAATTTTTGTGTTTCGTTGGCCAGGCCTACCTTGAACTCCTGACTGCAAGTGATCCACCCATCTCGGCCTTTCAAAGTACTGGTGCTGCAGGCCTGGCCCCATTTTCATAGCAGCGCTGCTTTTCTTACTGCCTGTAAGTTCCGTAGGGACAGCGCCCCTTTCAGGATCGCATTGTGATGGCTGCTATGTTTCCATCTCTTAGTCTGGAGCCCCCTCTGGCTCTTTTTTTTTCCTGGCAGTGTTTGTCGATGAAGCTCTGCCTATTTTGGGGTTAGTTAATTCTTCAAATTACGGTTGTCTTCAGCTTTTTGTCAGTCAGTTGCTTTTCAAACTCTGATGTGGCCAGTGGCTTCCTAGACCAGCGCTGTAGCATGTGAGTTCACTTAGCTCCCCAGAGCCACCCGTATGTGACCCTGAAGCCATGTAAAATCTGTGTGGCTCATTCACAGCTTCATGGTAAACATCGTAGCTTTTGTTTTGAAGTCGCGCCTCCTTTCTCTGTCCACTTTGACTGGAGTGGTGGTGATTATTTTCTGTTTGAGAGGACGCAGTGCTTAAGAGCAGACGTGGGCCGGGCGCGGTGGCTCACACTTGTAATCCCAGAGCTTTGGGAGGCCGTGGTGGAGATCATGAGGTCAGGAGTTCGAGACCAGCCTGGCCAACACAGTGAAACCCCGTCTCTACTAAAAAATATAAAAATTAGCTGGGTGTGGTGGCACGGGCCTGTAGTCCCAGCTACTCGGGAGGCTGAGGCAAGAGAATCACTTGAACCCAGGAGGTGGAGGTTTCAGTGAGCTGAGATCGCAACACTGCACTCCAGTGGGGCGACAGAGCGAGACTCTGTCTCAAACAAACAAACCCCTCATGATCGTTTCTGCTGCTGTATTTCAGATGGGTCTGTGAAGAAATCCCAGATCTCAAGCTCGCTATGGAGAATTACGTTTTAATTGACTATGACACCAAAAGGTAAGCAGAGTCCTGCCGGGCTGCTCCTCTCCCAGGACAGGCTTGGCTGCTGGGGAGGGCGGGACAGCGCAGCCTATAATTAGCTTTTAGATGCTGCAAGCTGATCTGAAATTTCCTTTTAGAGTTGGCTGTGGCCACCATCAAGTTATTTTGGTAGGAAATGTTTATCAACTCTTGGCAAAGGCGGTCAGAGCCAGGACAGAATTGGAAACTCCGGTTGTGGAAAGTGGAATTGGCATGTGTGGAGTCAGCCCGCGTTAGTAATCGCTCTTTTTATAGCTGGGGGCTGGCGGCCAGAAGTCCGCGTTCCTGCCTGGGGCCGTGTTCCTGCCTGGGGCTGTGCCACTGGCCAGGCCTGGGCGGCCCTAGGCTCTTCGGCCACTCCGTTTGGATCTCAGTTGGGTTTGGTCTCCTTGTGTCTCCAGCCCTGTGGCCGCCTTAGCAGGCGTTAGCAGTGCTCCCTGGCGGCTCCTGGGTCTTTGAGGAGGGTCTTGTGGGTGGAGAGGGGCAGGGCTGTCTCTGGAATGCTGGCTGGGAAGTGCTTTGTTTTTCTTTGAGTAGGAAGACATTCCAGGCTCGAGCCTTTCTCAGCTCTTGGGAGATCTGAAATCAACAGCGTTGTCTTCCCTCGAGAGCTCTTATATCCTGAGCTTAAGTGAGCCGCTCTCCGCGCCCCACCAGTCAAGCCCAGGGCCCTTGACGCCCTCATGGGCTGAGCACGCTCTACCTGCTCTCTGCCCTCACGGGCGTGTGGGAGGGACTCCTTTGTCTGCTGTCAGGGTCTCAGCCTCAGTAAATCTGGAGGGCCTGTGCCTCTCCCTCGAGCCCTGCCTGTTCCCTGCTCAGCACCCTGCTGTCCCACAAGCGGAGAAGCGCGTTGTGCTCACTTGGGGCCCAGCTGCTGGCACAGGTCCTCCGTGCCGACCTGCTGCTGTGGACGTTACGCCACTTGCCCTGCACGTCGGGACCTCCCGTGACCCCTCATCAGGCGTGATGGCGTGCTGGGCTCTTCCTGGTGTAGTTAGTATAAGGTGTGATGCAGCATGCAGATGAACGCGGCAGGGTGCACAGAGGGGGTCTGCAGGGCCACACAGAGCTGCCTCCGTGGAGGCGGGATGCACCAGCCTGGAAGCGCTCTGCATCCTGTATTTTTGGGTTTTCTTGGAGGCTTCTCTGAGGCCTTGCTGATGTCCGTGGAGGTGGGATGCACCAGCCCGGAAGTGCTCCGCATCCTTTCCTGGGTTTCGTGCGAGCTTCTCGGAGGCCTGGTTGATGGCTGCCTCCATCTCCAGTTCCCTTTCTAAGCTTCCTACCGCAGATTTACCCCACCCAGGGGCCCCGCAGTTGCCTCCTTAGAACAGAAGATGCTCCTGTCACCTAGAAGTTTCCGGGAATCAGGAGCTCTGTCAGGAACTGGAGACCCCTTGGGTGGGTAGTGTCCAGGCTTACCCCTTTGGTGGTAACCCAGGGGCGGCTGTGCCATGCCTCACTTGTGTGTGGCCGGCCTGTGCCTTGGCTCTGAGCAGCGAGTGTGTCCGACGCCGTGCTCACGGCGCCCCAGCACGTGGGTATGTGGTGTCCTTCCCCTTCACAAGGCTAAAAAGATATCCGGGACCGGCTGGGCGGTGGGTGGTCCTCATTCTCTCTCCATGCCCCTGAGATGCTGGCAGGGGCACCTGAGGGACCGAGCCATTAGGGCATCAGGCCAAGGGCAGCCCCGGTTCCTCCTGCACCTGCATTTGCACCTCCTGCCAGGAGGTGTCTCTTCCAGGGAGCCTCCAGAGGTGTTTTGGGAGGGGTCTGGTTGTCAGCTGAAGGTGAGTGTGGAAGTTGGCGGCCAGCACTTCTCCTGGGGCCGTGGGGAGGGCGGGAGGCAGTGGGCTGGCTCTGCCACTTCGTCTTTCTCCTTCCCGTGGCGGGAGGCAGGCCCCGGCCAGATGCTGCTCACAGACCCAGGTCCGCGCTGACTACTGACCCATCGCTCTACCTGGGCTGCCTCCACCCTCTGTCCTTCATGCTCCACGTGATCCGGGTCCCATGTGGCTGTGCTCCCTGGGGCTGTCGCAGGGTCTTGTTCTTGGCGTTTGCTGCTCTTAAGTTCTCTTGCTTTATCCTCTGAGCTGCTGCTTAGGGAAAGCACGAACTCAGCCTGTGGTGCTCGGGTTTTCCTGGGAGGAAGGCAATGTATGAACCTTGGACATATGCAGTGCCCAGGTTAATTCAGGGCAGCCAGGATGGGGCAGGAAGAGCATGGGGCTGGGGCTGGGGCGGGAGGAGGTGGAGGAAAGAGCCCCCAGCCCTCTGCCGTCCCACAGCTGCAGACCCCCCGGGCGCTGGGGACGTGGACAAGGGGGCCAGGTCGTTCTCTGGGAGGACCATCCTGGACATTGCAGGGTGCCGAGCAGTCCCTGCCCCCATCTGTTGCTTGCCTCGCCGCATTCCTGGGGTCCCTGATGAGAGCCACCGTGTTTGACAGTGTTCCCGGGACAGGCCACCCTCCTCCTCCTATCTCTCGGTCTGCTCTGGCGCCTTGTGAGGAGGTGGAATGGACGCTGTTGCCCGCGTTTTGCCGATGGGCCTGACAGCCTGGGAAGATGAGCAAGTAACCAGGTCCAGAGCGGACAAACTGGGCTGGGCAGATCCTGCAGCTGGCCTGCCCCCGGCCTAGAAGTCCCCCGAGCCCAGGCCTGGCTGGGCAGCGTGGCCCACGTTTCCTATGGCTCACGTGCACCACGGACATTGGGTACTCCCTGCTGCCGGATGGGCTCTGCCCTAGAGGGATGTTGGGCACACGCACTTGGGTAGTGAAGGCTGGCCCTTCGTCCTAGGGCTCCGGGCAGAGCTGTTGCCGGTGGGGGCGGGGGCTGAGTGTCACTGTCATCCCTGCCATGCCGTGTCTGATGTGACCCACTGCTGATACGTGAAAGAGTTGGGGCTTCAGAGGGACATACACACAGAGCAGTGCAGGTGGGGTGGGGGGGGCACCGACCTTTAGTGCTCCCTCCTCCTGCACCTGCCCAGGCAGAGGCCTCCTGGTCCCCAGGACTGCGGCCGTTCCTCTGCCTCTATTGCTGGTGGCTCTTCCCAGCCAGGGGAAGGAAGACCCTGTAAGGCCAGACCCAGGGGTTCCCACTCTGGGGGGGCTGGCCTTGGTCCCCCTTGAGCCCTCTTCCTCTCCTCATGCCTCCAGCTCACCTGGACCTGGGCTTTGTGTGGGCACCTGGGCGGGTGCAGCCGCCTCGGGGTCCAGTGCTTCCTTGCACCGGACTCTGGGGGTCCCCTTGCCTGTGCCCCTGCATCGGGTCATCGGGACGGAAAGCCAGGCTTCTGCTGGAGGAGTCTGGGCCAGCTGGCTGTTGGGAGGGGACCACACCTCAGAGCCTGCCCTGTCCACGTACCAGCCCCTCTGTGCATGCAGCTGGTTCTGGCCCGTATGACCAGGCCCTTCCCTTGCTTTTTTCAGCTTTGAGAGCATGCAGAGGCTCTGTGACAAGTACAACCGTGCCATCGACAGCATCCACCAGCTGGTAAGGGGCTCGTCCTGCCCCGGGGAGTCAGCAGTGCCCGGCTCCCAGACCCCTCCAGACCCCTGGCGTCATCTCCTAGGGGCACAGGGCTCCCCCTTAGAGCCCTCGGGCATTGGAACGTGGGGGCCTGTGGCCTGTGGGCGAGTGGGGTGCTGCTGAGGCCGGGCTGTGTGCCCGTGGGCTGGGCCAGCTGCGCGCTGTAGCCATGTGGCATCGCAGAGCCGTCTATGGTTTGTGTGCTGAGGCAGGGCCCCGAGGCTGTGATGTCCGCACATGCCTCTGCACCCCTGGGTGGTCCCCGAGGGCCCCAGCAGAGGCGGAGTCCCTATCCTCCCTGGGCCGTGTGAATGCGGCCTTCCCCTCGGACCTCCCCCGTGCTGCTCACCTTCCTCAGGTTGGATGCGGCCTGGGCTGCACCCTGGGGCTCCCCAGTCCTGCCATGTCTTGTGAAGCTTTCCTCACAAAGGATGGCAGACACACCAGCTAGGGTGTAACGGGAAGTGTGCCGCTTCCCATGTTCTAGAAAGCTCTGTGGTCCCTGGTGTGGGAGGGCAGGAAGCTCTTGAAGGTCTCGCCGTGGAGGGAGGCCCTGGTGGGGACAGCGTGGCCTCACTGGGCCCTCCTGAGTGGGGCTGGCGAGGCTGCTTCCACTGGGAAAGGGCCCGGGGCTCGGGCAGAGGGGCTGGGGTGGCCTGTGGCCAGACAGTTCACGTGGCGTGGCCGGCCACCCTGCGTCCGCAGTGGAAGGGCACCACGCAGCCCATGAAGCTGAACACGCGGCCGTCCACCGGGCTCCTGCGCCACATCCTGCAGCAGGTCTACAACCACTCGGTGACCGACCCCGAGAAGCTCAACAACTACGAGCCCTTCTCCCCCGAGGTGTACGGGGAGACCTCCTTCGACCTGGTGGCCCAGATGATCGACGAGATCAAGATGACCGACGACGACCTGTTTGTGGACCTGGGGAGCGGTGAGTGCCGCCCGCCACGTGCTTAGCCCACACGCCCTGTGCCTGCCCCGTGCCTGCGTGGAGAAGAGTTTAGCAGGGCCTGGCGATGCTGGCGTCTGCGGCGCTTCCTTCCCCACTCCTCTGCCCCGCTGCAGGTCCGTTCCTTTTCTTGGCCCTGACCTTCCCGGAGCCTGGGTCTCCACCCAGAGGGGAGAAATCGCAGGAACCCAGCAGTTCTCAGACTGTCCCCCTCCTTCCAGGTGCCTGGAGACTGCTTTTCCCCTGCTCCCCGCCAGCAGGGGAGCAGGACCTGTGCACCCTCTACGCTCACTCCCAGGAGCTGTGCTCTTTAGCCTGGGCCCCAGTGCGGTCCCCCACCCATGCTGGCTGCCTGCAGCTGGCAGCGGCCCCTCCCTGGGCACATCTGCTCCCTCCACAGCAGCTGGAAAGGTCCATGCAGAGGAAAACCCCAGGTCCCTGGGGCTCCTGGAGGGCCTTGTGCCTTCCCTGCATCCCCAGCCTTCCTCGGTACCTCTGTGTCTGGGCCATGTCCTGCCCCTCCCAGGTTGGGGCTCAGGGTGGTCTCGTCAAGTCCCCACAGACCACCTCCCAGCCACTGGCGTTGTTTCAGCCTCTCCCTGCGCTCAGGCTCTGACAGGCTCTGCTTGTGAGGTGTCCTCTCTCGCAGCACAGTGGGGCTCCTTGAGGCAGGGCCCCAGGTGTGGGTTCATGGCTCTGTCTTCAGCACCCGTGTGGCCTGAACGAGGCACAGGTGAACGGTCAGCACATGAGTAGCCACGGTAGCCCGATTTCTTTCTTTTCTTTCTCTTCTTTCTTTCTGAGACGGAGTCTCACTTTGTCACCCAGGCTGGAGTGCAATGGCTCGATCTCGGCTCACTGCAACCTCCGCCACCTGAGTTCAAGCGATTCTCCTGCCTCAGCCTCCCGAGTAGCTGGGACTACAGGCGCATACCACCTCGCCTGGCTAGTCTTTTTTGTCAGTAGAGATGGAGGTTTCACTGTGTTAGCCAGGATGGTCTCGATCTCCCGATCTTGTGATCCGCCCCCACCAGCCTCCCAAAGTGTTGGGATTACAGGCGTGAGCCACCATACCTGGCTAGCCTGATTAATTTCTGATAGGACAATCCTATCCAGGCCGCAGGGCTGACTGGGTCACCAGCTGTCAAGGGTCAGACGGTGGAGGCCCCTTCTCCGCAGTGTCTAGGCTATCTCTGGGCCCCTTGAACCTCAGTGGACATGTAAACCTGTGCCTGTAGGTGTGTGAGCCCCGCTTCCAGCAGTCCTGGCTCTGATGTAGGGGAGGGGGGCCCTGAGGGCAGGCACCAAGAGGACTTTTCATAGACCAGACGTGATGGCTCCTGCCAGTAATCTTAGCACTTAGAAGGCTGAGATGGAAGGATTGCTTGAGGCCAGGAGCTCAAGACCTGCCTGGTCAGCATGGCAGGACTCCCGTCTCTGTCTGTTTATCTGACAGTCTTGTTCTGTCACCAGGCTGGAATGCAGTGGCGTGATCTCAGCTCACTGCAACCTCTGACTCTCTGGTTCAAGCGATTCTCCTGCCTCAGCCTCCCGAGTAGCAAGGACTACAGGTGCGCCCCACCACGCCCAGCTCATTTTTATATTTTTAATAGAGAAGGGGTTTCATCACGTTGGCCAGGATGGTCTCGATCTCTTGACCACATGATCTGTCCTCCTTGGCCTCCCAAAGTGCTGGGATTACAGGCGTGAGCCACTGCGCCTGGTCTATTTATTTATTTATTTATTTATTTATTTTTGAGACGGAGTTTTGCTCTTGTTACCCAGGCTGGAGTGCAATGGCGCGATCTTGGCTCACCGCAACCTCCGCCTCCTGGGTTCAGGCAATTCTCCTGCCTCAGCTTCCTGAGTAGCTGGGATTACAGGCACGCGCCACCATGCCCAGCTAATTTTTTGTAGTTTTAGTAGAGACGGGGTTTCACCATGTTGACCAGGATGGTCTCGATCTCTTGACTTCGTGATCCGCCCGCCTGGGCCTCCCAAAGTGCTGGGATTACAGGCGTGAGCCACCGCGCCTGGCCTTACTATTTATTTATTATAAAGAGGTTTCACCATGTTGGTCAGGCTGGTCTTGAACTCCTGACCCCAGGTGATTCTGCCCGCCTTGGCCTCCAAAGTGCTTGGATTACAGGCATGAGCCACCATGCCCGGCCTTTTTTTTTTATTTTTTATTTTCAAGTTAAAAAAAAACTGCAATAAAAATAACACGTATCGGTTGGGTGCAGTGGCTCACACTTGTAATCCCAGCACTTTGGAAGGCTGAGGTGGGTGACCTCCTCACCTGAGGTCAAGAATTTGAGACCAGCGTGGCCAATATGGTGAAACCTAGTCTCTACTAAAAAGAAAAAAATTAGCTGGGTGTAGTGGTGAGCGCATATACTGCTGTGGGGAGGCTGAGGCATGAGAATCGCTTGAACCTGCTAGGCAGAGGTTGCAGTGAGCTGAGACCGTGCCGGGTAGCTCCTGTGTGTAATCCCAGTGCTTTGGGAGGGTGAAGTCGGAGGGCTGCTTGAGTCTGGGTCATAACCAGTCTTGGTGACATAGTGAGACCCCATCTCAACTACAAAGAACAAAAAATGACTGGGTATGGTGGTGCCGGCCTGTGGTCGCAGCTGTTTGGGAGCTCAGGTGGGAGGATTGCTTGAGCCCAAGAGGTGGAGGCTGCAGTGAGCCAGGATCGCAGCACTGCAGTTCAGCCTGGGCAACAGAGCCAGACCCCGTTTCAAAAAAAACCAAAATAAAATTAAAAAGCCTCCTGTGTTTTAGACGATGTCCTAGCACTTGTTGGCACAGCTCCAGCCTTCGCCGTGTGCCTCCCTCCCCGCTGGTGTGCCTGTGCCACCCTCCCCGCTGGTGTGGTGCCCGTCTATACCTCCCTTCCTGCTGGTGTGGCGGTGGCGGTCTGTGGCCACTGTGGTCGTGCCATGGTTCATGCCCAGTCTCTGGAGTGCAGAGCTGCTTAGCAGGGGAGGAGGGGTCTTGATGCCCCCGGTGTGTGCAGCTGCCACTGCCCTACTGTTGCTGGCGCATTTACAGCCCCAGTTCCCTCCTCCACCCTCAGAGCCGGGTACTACTGCGTTGTGCACTGATGCTGTGAAACCGCAGTGGCGGGGAGCCTGTCCTGGCTGCAGGGGGCTCCTCACTGCCTTTCCCACCCCACGTCGAGCCTCAGATCCCGCTCAGGAGCCTTCCTGGGCGCCGTCAGGTTTTATCAGCCATGTTGCTGTGTGTCTCTGTGGTGGTGCTCCAGGGATGATTTGGGGTGGACAGGAGCCTTTCCAGACCTGCCGCATCTCAGGCAGCCCTGCCTGTCTGAACAGTGAACCCCACATGGGGCCCTTAGACTCAAAATGGAATCTGGCTCTGGGGGCCACCAGCTCATGTTCGTGGATGATATGTCATGATGGCTGTCCACTTGCGGGGGCTCCGCTTGGGGCCTGGTCTTTGTGACGTATCCTAAGTGACCTCAGAGCATCGCATATGTGAGGAGACTCGTGGCCTCCCCTGTGGGTCTCCGTGGCCGTAATTTTGTGGCCTGTGTCCCTGAGCTGGCATGACCTCCCAGATGATGCCTGAGCGTGTGTGGTGTCTGATGGATCTCTCTGATCACAGGTGTGGGCCAGGTTGTGCTCCAGGTCGCCGCCGCCACCAACTGCAAACATCACTATGGCGTCGAGAAAGCAGACATCCCGGCCAAGTATGCGGAGGTGAGCGGGGCTGCAGGCCGGGGTGTGTTGGAGGCAGGGGACTCTCAGAGAAGGTGACGCCCTGGGTGCCTGCACCCCACTGCTGTGGGACCTCGAGTCTGGGTGGCATTCTTTCCAGGCCCGGGATGTCTTGGCTGCCTGCAGGGTGTGCCTGAGAGTGCAGTGCCCGGGCACCCTCAAGGCCCATCCCAGGCTGGCCCTCCAGGCCTGCCCTAGCGCCATGGGGGTGTCTCCGAGCCTGTTTCACGCTGCGTGCCACCAGTGAGGCAGGAGGCGCTCGGCTCCACCTTGTGGCACAGTCCGCCGAGAAGTGCCTGGGGTGGTTTGGGCGCCGGCGTGGGCGGACCTGTTAAGGCCCCGCTGCCCTGAGAGTTTGTAACGGGTGTTTGGTTTCTTTCCTTCCAGACCATGGACCGCGAGTTCAGGAAGTGGATGAAATGGTATGGAAAAAAGCATGCAGAATACACAGTGAGTGCCATCGCTCCGCCCCCTCCCATCACTGGCCCCGCCCCACCCCGCCCCCTTTCAGCCCCTCCTTTCTGGCCGCTGTTGGCACGTGGCTGTTGGCACGTGGTGCCCCTTGTGCAGTCCTCTCTGGTTGTCGTAGGGCTGCCTGGGCATGGTCTCTGAGCTGGCAGTGGGCACCTCTATTGGCGCCATGCTTCCTGTCGTGTGGGACATGGCCCCTGTCCCTTGGCAGCCTGCGGTGCACAGAGGTGGTGCAGGAAACGGTCTTGGGGCTCTGGAGCAGAGGCCTGTGTGGCCGGCCAGGTTGTAGGCCAGCTGCAGCGTCCTTGGGGTGTCATGCCTCACTGAGGACAGCCTTGTTTGGACGGGTTCCTGGTCCTCAGTGCCATGTTCTTCATGACAAGCCTGCGACCTTGGGGTGGGCAGTGTTCTCTCTGCCCTGTCACAATGCCCTTGCCGAGGAAGCTGTTCCTCCTGAGGATCCTGTGGATGGCACCTGCATGTGGCCGGTCCCTGTGAGATTCCTCTTGTGGATCCTGTGGATGGTGCCTGCCCGTGGCTGGTCTCTGTGGGATTTCTCCCATGGACCCTGCGGATGGTGCCCACACGTGGCCGGTGCCTGTGGGGCATGTGCTCCTTGTTCTATGGCTGGCTGAGTGGCAGTGGGAAGGGGATGCTCTTTAGAGAGCAGGAAGGTTGGTTTCCCTAACCCAGGGGGGTGATTACTGGGCCAGAGCTTCAGGAGCAGCTGCCGCTCTTGTGTCATCCTCAGACCTCTTCCCAGCCCATGCTGAGTCCTTAGACCCCAGGCTCCGCCCTGGACCTTTCCACACAGGGGCCGTGCTTGCAGAACTGGCTCCTTCTTCCACCTGTGTTCTCTCCCTCCTGGTCCCAGTTGCTCAGGCACTCACCTGTGGTGTGGGCTGACAGCGCCCAGCCTCCCAGCAACGCCCCAGACCAGCAGATTCCATCCCTGCTGTGCCCTCTTGCGCTGTGGCTTGGTGCTGGTGCAGCTGCTCCTGTGGTGTGGATTGGCGGCAGCTCGGAGTCTGGGGGCTGCGGGAAGGAGGATGCTTCCTGCTCTAGACCTAGAGCCCCTGGAGCACAGGGCGGCCCCAGAGTCTGCAGCTCCTCGAATCCTGAGAGGCCTCCCTGAGAAGGTGGAAGGAGTGCTGGGCAGGGCAGGCACCCAGTCACCACCCTGGGAGGACGATGGCGCAGGGGTTAAACTGCCCACAGAGCAGCTCACGGTGGAACGTGGCAAGGCCTGATCCCAGGTGGCCCTGACAACACAGTTCCCGGGTGGAATCTGTAGGTTTGCAGAAGCAGGCTCAGACTCCCCAGGGGTCCTGTTGTTGTCAGCCGGTTCTCTCAGTTCAGAGGGCGCCTGATGGACACGGGCGGCATACGGTTCCAGCCCTGCCAGGCAGGGCCGCCCAGTGTCTGCCTCTCTGCCGGGTGGGTGGAGGCGTGACTGGGGCTGTGCACCCGTCTGTCTGTTGGGAGCTCCCTGCTGAGGCACCCTCTGTGGGCCTGTCTGCTGGGCCTCCCTCAGATTGCTGTGAGGCCTTGGCATTGCTGCCATTGCCACCACCTCACAGGGGAGAAGGAGGGATTGAGGGAGCGAGTGGGTATGCGTCCTGCCTAGTGTGTGCCCCGGCACCCAGCTCAGACCCCTCCACACTATCCCCCAGCACAAGTGAAGGCCAGAGTCAGGGCACTGGGGCCCTATCCCTGGTGTCCCTGACCGGGATCAGGAGCCTTTGCTGGCTGGTCCTGCCCCGGGTTTCCTGGCTGTGGTGGTCGGAGCAGATCCACCTGGGTGGGGAAACGGATGCGTGTTCTAGGCGTGTCCGTTTTCCCTGCGAGGCTGACACGGGCTCTGGTGGCAGGGACACCGGGGTCAGGCAGCGTCCCTGTTTGCCTCTTCAGGGAGGGAGTTGGTGGCTGGAAACTTTGTTTTTCAGAGGCAGGGCTCCCCCGTCCTCCAGGCTGGAGTGCAGTGGTGTGATCATAGTTCATTGCAGCTGTGAACTCCTGAGCTCAAGCAATCCTCCCACTTCATTCTCCTGAGTAGCTGGGACTGCAGCCATTAACCACCACTCCTGGCTAATTAAAAAAAAAATTGGGTCATGCCTGTAATCCCAGCCCTTCAGGAGGCTGAGGTCAGGTGGATCACTGAGGTCAAGAACTCAAGACCAGCTTTGCTACCATGATGAAAACTTGTCTCTACTAAAAATACAAAAACTGGCTAGGCATGGTGGTGCACGTCTGTAGTCCCAGCTACGTGGGAGGCTGAGGCAGAAGAATCATTTGAACCTGGGGAGCGGAGGCTACAGTGAGCCGAGATCATGCCACAGCTCTCCGCCTTGGGCGATAGAGCCAGACTCCATCTCACCCAAAAAAAAAAAAAAAAAAAAAACCAATGGAGTCTCACTGTGTTGGCCAGGTTGGCCTCAAACTCCTGGATTCAAGCGCTCCTCCTACCTTGGCTTCCTAAAGTGCTGGGATGACAGGTGTGAGCGTGTCCGGCTGCCCCTATGTGTTTTTGGGGCTTGACACCCCATTTCTTTTTATTGCTGAATAGTATTCCATATTCTGGGTGTGCCACAGTTAATTCACCCGCTTACTTGCTGAGGACATCTCGGCTACTTCCACGATTTGGCGGTTATGAACACCACCGCCGTACAGATCCGTGGGTCGGTTTCTGTGTGGACGTAAGAGCTGCACTCCTATGGGCAGAGAGCAAGCAGCACGATTGCTGGATCGTGTGGAAAAAACCGCCAGACTGCCTCTCAGTGTGTCCACACTAGCTGCATCACCCCCAGCAGTGAACAAGAGTTCCTGCTGCCCCAGGTTCTGGCCAGCACCTGGGAGGTCGCTGACGCTTTATCCACAGCCTTGCTGTGACGTGGGTCCTGGAGTTCTTGTCGATTCCTAGGGGTTTTCTGCGTTGACGGCTGAGTCGTCTGCAAGCCTGGGCCACTTTGCCTTTTCTTTTGCAGCCCATGTCCATTTCCTCCCCCTTTCCCGTTCCCTCGTGCTGGCTGGCATTTCCCAGGCAATGTGAGTTGTGGGGGCAAGACGGTTACCCTTCCCCGCCCTGCTCCTGGTGGGCAGCTGAGCCCCTGGCCGCGGAGCGCCGTGGTAGCAGCGGGCTTGTGTGGACAGTCTTCGTCAGGTGGGTGACGAGCCCTCGGCCCTGAGTTTGCGGCGTGTGTTGGTTTGGTGCTGTTTCTGGTGTCGGCTCGATGCCGTGCTTTCCATTCCTCACCCGGTCGTTGTGATGGGTTTCAAGTGTTGGCCTGGCCTCCCTCACCCCCGGAATACATCCCCTTCGATGGGCCTGCGATCCTGTGTGTCCGAGGCGGGACTCCGCTGGCTGATGCTCCGCTGAGGGGTTTTCTGCGGGGGCCGGAGCCTTGGTCTGCAGTGTTCCCTCGCGGCCACGCCTGGCTGGTGGCCTCCAGGTGGCGCTCCCTCGGCTTCTGTTCCACTGTTCTTTGCTTTGATTGGGAATTGCACCCTCAGGGCTGTGGGCCCAGCTCTCCTTCCTTTCTCGTGGCGTTTGTTCCGGAGTCCCCTGCCCTCTGCGGAAGCTGTGTGGTGCCCTGGGCCCAGTGTCCACCTGCACTCTGGTCGGATCCCGGCACAGAGGATGAAAGCCCTCGCCCTGGTTCCCTGTGACAGCCAGGAGGGCCCGCGGTGCCTTCCTCTGCGAGGTCTGGCTGGGCTGTGCCTTGCTCAGGAGAGGATAGGTGTGAGGTGGTGGGGCCACCCCGGCACTGCTCCCCCTCCTGCCTCATCTTGTCATCGTTGGGGTCAGCACCCCACCCGCTGGGGCCTGGGTCCCCGACATGGCTGAGGCGCATGTCTCGTGTGGCGCAGGTGCTCCTGGTGTGCAGCTGCTTTTGTGGTCAGGATTCCATGCATGTTTAGTGTGCGTGGTCATGCCAGCGGCTCCTGAGGTCTGCCAGGAGCATGATTTGGGGGAAAGGATGGCATTCCTCGTGGCTTGGGCAGCACTCGTCAGAACCTGGCAGTGGGGAAGGCAGGTGTCAGCGCCGGCCTCTGCCTCTGGCATCTGTCCTGCTGCGGAGGGTGGGTCAGAGAGGCTCTGCCTGACCGCTTTGTGCCTTTCTGGTGGGCACTTCACTCCGATGTTGGAAGAAACCCTTGGAGCGGCTTGGCCGTGCTCTGCTTGGCAGGCTCCAGGTCCTGCTACCTGAAGCACTGTCACAGGAGGGCTCCCAGAGACCCAGCTCCCCACTTCCTATGGGGATTGCAGACTTCAGACGGAAGCAGGGCCTGCCCGTGAGCCACGGTGCTTGCAGGAGCACCTCTGGCCCCAGAGCCACTAGTCATTGAGCGTGGGGGTCCCAGGGCAGGTTTCTGGTCCCAGGCCTGCGATGTGGGCCTGGATCTGCTTGGTGCTGCTAAGGATTTGGAATTTGAATTATGCCCTGGGTGTCTGGTCCACGGGGAATGAGGGATGTTGAGAGGGTCAGTCTGTCAGATGTGGAGAGGGAGGAGACGGGCGTGGAGGGCGGCTCAGGAGGGTCAGCCTGTGCTCCTGCCACCCTGTCCTCTCCTTCCAGGGGCTTCCCCGGCCCTGGAGAGTGGAGGACGTGCAGCTGCTCCTGGCTGGGGCAGGCAGCCCTGTCCTCTGGATCTGGGTCTGAGTGGACGGGTGGCCCTGTCCTCCCAGCCTGGGGGGTGTCCTTCTCTCTCTGGGCCTGGATGGGTGGGCCACCAGTGGCTTGCTTGTGGGACCTTCTCTGCTCAGGGACTCCCTCCCCATCCTGAGACAGACTCTGGGTGGGGCACCAGGCCTGTGGCTGCGGTATGAAAAGGAGTGTCCCTCGCCCTCCCTCAGCCCTTGGATTCACCTGACTGAGGTGCCCTCACCCCCAGCTTCTCCAGTCCCCAGCAGGAATCCCCTTCCTGTCTCTGGGTGGGCCTGTCCTGGACATTTCACAGAAATGGGATCACACACTGTCCTCACGGTGCATCTGTGCTGTGGCCTGGTTGGTGCCTGGCCCCTGCTTCTGGCTGGGTCCTGTCCCTGTGTGTGGACGGCCGTGCGTTGCTGTGTTGGTCTTTCAGCTGCTGATGGACAGTTGGCTGCTTCTGCCTTCTGGCTATGGCAAGTGGTGTTGGCTTTTGCAGGATTTGTGTCCGGGCTTTGGCACGGACGTGTTTTTGTCTCTCCTGGGGGTGTTACCTGGGAATGGAGGTGGTAGTGTCTTGGAAGGATTTCAGAGGAGGGGTCTTGGTTGTCCAGATGCTACTGCTTTGGACAGCCAGGGTGATAAGAGCTGTTTTCTCGTGGATGGTGCTTGGTCTTGAGGTCTGGAGGTAGGCTGGTGTCGGGCTCCTGCCGGCCTTGCTGTGAGCATGGCGTGGAGCTGTGGGGACAGCGCTGCTCTTACTGGGCCGTCAGTGGTGCTCAGGGCAGATGCCCACGGGGACAGGTGGCCCAGCTTCTCTATGCGCATGTTTCCTGTGCTTGGTGAGGAGGAACAGAGCTCGGCATTGGGCTTTTCCGGCCTGGCCATGTTGCTGCCTGCTGCGGAGGGTGCCCCCAGCACCCCCAGACTCCCTCAGGCCCTCCCTGGAACCCAGCCTGGTGGGGACTGCAGGCCCTGCCTCAGGGCGCCCTGCTGGCCGCCTCCGGTCCTGGGAGTGACTGCAGCCTCTGATTTGGAGGAGCCTGCAGTGTGTGGCCTGTAGTTGTGTGTTGGTGTGGCCGTGGTCACCTTTGCCAGGCCTGGCCTCCCTGAGTAGATGCTGGAGCACGGGACCTGTCCCTGCTTCTCGGGAGGTCCTGCCTGTCCGCTGCACGTCCCTCTCACCTGCCCTTCTGCCTGCAGCTCCCAGGGCTGCGCCGGCAGCACCGGGTCTCCTGCCCCTCCCTGCGAGCGGAGCTGGGCTCATGCCATTTCTCTTTGTTCACAGGGGCGGGGCGGGCTGGGGGTGTCCAGGAGATGGGAGTCCACGCTCACGCCTGTCTTCTCTTCCAGTTGGAGAGAGGCGATTTCCTCTCGGAAGAGTGGAGGGAGCGAATTGCCAACACGAGGTATGGCCGGCACGGGGCGTACAGGGCATGTGGGGTGTGCTCACGGGCGGCCGGGGGCCATTGGCACTGGGGACCAGGGACGGGCCCTCGCTCCTGTGCTGATTGTGGCAGAAAAGAAGTCGGCAGGGACAGGAGGGGCACCTTTCCCTCAACGCTGAGTCCCTGCGGACCTGGAAAGCAGACGTGCCTGGCGGGTGCGGCCCTCAGAGCCCCATCAGCCCCTGTCGGCATGAGCCTGCTCCCGCTGCCTGTCCCCTTGACTTGGGGACACTGTGGGCCCCTCTCACCTGGGTCCTGGGCTTCCTCCTCATTCAGGCATGGTCTGGGGGTCTTCCTGTCTCTCTGTCCATCCATCCTGAAGTAGCTGTCACCCACACAGCGCAATGAGTGCTGCTTGAGGGAGCGGCCCCTCCTGATCCCAAGCCATCGCTGCCCAGCCCAGGCTTGCCCCTCTGCTCCCTCACACCTGGGCCCGGGAGCTCAGGGCACTGTCCAGGTCTGTTCCCACTGCCACCAGTTTGTCCTGGTAGCTGGTGGTAGCTGGCTCTGTGGGAGTGAGCTGGGCCACTGTGCTTTCCACCAGGCAGCCTGTGTATGGCCATGGCGCCCCACTGCATCCACCAGGGACCCTAGAGGTCCAACGAGCTTGTGGGGGATGCTGGGGAGGTGGGGTCAGCAGCTGGCCAGGCCCTGCTCCCCCAGTCCCACCACCCTCCCTGCCGCTCTTGTCCTCCCCACTCCCTCACTTCTCCCGTCTTCCCTGTGTCCCCCTTCCTCCCGAGTGTGCTTGTGGCTTGTGGTTGAGTGTCCCCCATGGATAGGGTTTTGGGTATAAGTAGAAAATGAGGGTTTCTTGGCCAGACGCGGTGGCTCACGCCTGTGATCCCAGCACTTTGGGAGGCCGAGGCGGACGGATCATGAGGTCAGAGATCGAGGCCATTCTGATTAACACGTTGTGAAACTCCCTGTCTCTACTACAAATACAAAAATTAGCTGGGCGTAGGGTACGTGCCTTTAACTCCAGCTACTCGGAAGGCTGAGGGAGAATCGTTTGAACCCAAGAGGCGCAGGTTGCAGTGAGCCCAGAAAGCGCCACTGCACTACAGCCTGGCAACAGAGTCAGACTCCGTCTCAAAAAAACAAAAAAAGCCAGGTGCGGGGGCTCACGCCTGTAATCCCAGCACTTTGGGAGGCTGAGGTGGGCGGATCACCTGAGGTTGGGAGTTTGAGGGCAGCCCGACCAACATGGAGAAACCCCGTCTCTACTAAAAATACAAAATGAGCCGGGCATGGTGGCACATCCTGTAATCCCAGCTACTCAGGAGGCTGAGGCAGGAGAATTGCGTGAACCTGGGAGGTGGAGGTTGCGGTGAGCCAAGATATCGCCATTACACATTGCACTCCAGCCTGGGCAACAAGAGTGAAACTGTCTCCAAAAAAATTAAAAAAAAAAAAAAAAAAACAAGACAAGAAAAAGAAAATAGGAGTTTCTTTTCCCAAAAGTTTCCTGGGTTTGCCCTTGTGTGAACTTGCTTTGGGTTGGGGCACTGTGCCCTCCCTCTGGAGGGAGCCGTGCTGACCCTGTGGTGTCCCCCTCCCGTGGGGCTGTGGTGGGAGCGCAGGGTGATCCGCAGCAGTCAGGCCATGATTGCTGTCTTGTGAGAAAGTCTGAAGAAGCCGAGAGATTTCCTGGCATCCCGTTGACATCTGGTCTCAGCCCAGGCTCTCACAGTTCCTCTCCAGGAGCTGCCACTCACTGCCTTGTCAGGCAGCCCCGGCCCTGGGCTCAGCCCGCTCTGGCTCCAGGCAAAGTGTGCAGGCCTTGATCCGGAGGGGCTCCTACCCCAGGCTGCCCACTGGTAACAGGATCTATCTTGCCTCGGTCTGTTTGCCTTTGCCTGTGTCTGACCCGAGATGGCGGTGGCTTTGGAGGTGGCCTCGTGGAGCGTCGTTCTCTGAACGCCAGGTTCCCCAGGTGTTTCTGGCTCATGCCTCTCACCTGCCTTGGCCGCTCGAGCACAGTCAGCTTCACTTCTAGCCTTCCTAAGTGCAGTCCTGAGTGGGGATACAGGCGGCCCCATGACCCTCATTTGGGGACAGTGGCCTGGGAAAGCAATACCGGGCCTGGAAGGGAGCCGTTGTTCCCCCGTCCTTGCCAGGGCATCTGAAACGCTGCAAGGACGCCTCACCTGGGGCCCACTGTCCGCAGTCTCTCTAGCAGCTGAGCGGGAGCCTCTGCTTTGCGCTCACTGTAGCTGCTGCTGGGCCTCTGTTCCTGGCCACTGCCTTCTTCCCTCAGCCTGTGGGTTCGTCACAGCTGCTCTTCCCACCCCATGTGGGCTGCTGTGAACCTTCCCCAACCGCTGGACTCCAAAACCACCAAGATTCAAAACAAGTGACTTGGCCACGAAGCTGCCCCCTCTGATTTCAGCTCCATTCAAAAGAGGCCAAATTTGCCTTTTCCTGGTACCTGAAACCTACACCATGAGCTCCGTCGTGTGGGCTCGGCCGTGTGGGCTAGCCTTGTGGGCTAGTTCGTGCGGGCTCAACTGCGTGGTCTTGGCTGCGTGGGCTCGGCCCTGGAGGTGGCGGGTGGGTGTGGGCAGGGCCTGGCGCTGGCAGCAGCAGCTGCTGGCTGCGCCGTGAGCCGAGCTTTCATGGCACTGAACTGGAGTATTGTTTTGCAGTGTTATATTTGTGAATAACTTTGCCTTTGGTCCTGAGGTGGATCACCAGCTGAAGGAGCGGTTTGCAAACATGAAGGAAGGTAAGGCGCCCTCCTCGTCGGTCCGTGTTGTTGTGACATGGTTGAGGAAGGGTGGCCTGGGGGTCCCTGCAGGGTGTCCTGCAGAAGGCAGCTCAGACTTGGGGTCCTTAGTCCCCCAGGAGCCAGGTGGTCCTTCTTCATTCTTTTTTTTTCTTTTTTTATTGACATAGTCTTGCTCTGTCACCCAGGCTGGAGTGCAGTGGTGTAATCTTGGTTCACTGCAGCCTCTGCCTCCCGGGTTCAAGTGTTTCTCCTGCCTCAGCCTCCCAAGTAGCTGGGACTACAGGTGTGCACCGCCACGTCCAGCTAATTTTTGTTTTTATTTTATCTTCTTTTTTTTGAGACGGAGTCTCACTGTATCCCCCAGGCTGGAGTGCGGTGGTATAATCTCGGCTCACCGTAACCTCCACCTCCTGGGTTCAAGCAATTCTCATGCCTCAGCCTCCCGAGCAGCTGGGATTACAGGTGCTCACCACCACACCTGGCTAATTTTTGTATTTTTTGTAGAGATGGGGTTTCACCATGTTGGCCAGGCTAGCCTCAAACTCCTGACCTCAGGTGATCCACCTGCCTCGGCCTCCCAAAGTGCTGGGATTACAGGCATGAGCCACCGCGCCCAGCACTGGAAGCTTCTCGAGTTGAGCCTGCAACTCACTTATGGCCAGCTGGCCATCGAGGGGCAAGAGTCCCCTTTATTCTTGACGCAAGCACATGGTGCTCGGCATCCATACTGAGCAGGAGTGGGGCTCTCAGATGTTTTATTTTTTCCCTCTGGAGAAAGGTCGCCAGGCCCGTGCAGAGCCCTTGACACTGTGTTCTGGACCTCAGGCCCTGGCGTCGTTTCAGGAGCAGCTAACTGAACCTGCTGCCTGGATTCCAGTCTTGCAGGCCAGGGTGGGACCCAGACCACAGCGTGTGGACTGCCCCTTCCCCTGAACATGGAGACTGAGCATGCCGTTGCCCCCCAGCCCCGCCAGCCCTCCAGCAGGACTCAGGGCAGGCTTGGGGACTTCTTGAGGAGGTTGTGCTGCCTCCCACCCAGGCTCTTTGCCAAGCCCTGCAGCAAGCGCCACCTCATCTTGTACCGGCAGACGTGGCTTCCACAGCCACCGCTGGGCTCAGAGACGGGCGCTCTGGGGGTGCCCCCCTCTCTCTCTACTGCTTCCCAGCCCTCCACTCCAGGGAGACCTCCAGAGGCTAGGGGAGAATGAGGTGGGCACCTCAGGTCTTCCAAACAAAACCCAGAGGGTCTGCGGCTGCCTTCAGCACAGCCCCACAGCCATGGGCTTTGGGGGGGTGCTTGCGTGCCTGTGTCTGTGTCTGTGTGTGCGCCCGTGTGCCTGCGTGTCTGCGCGTGCCTGCGTCTGCATGTTTGTGCCTGTGTGCATGCCTCCGTGTCAGTGTGCATGCCGGCGTGTGCGCGCCCCTGTGCCTCCGTGTCTGCATATGGGTCTGCTTATGTGTCTGTGTGTGCATGCAGGCCTGCGTGTCTCTGTGTGCGTCTGTGCCTTGCGAGTTTATTTACATATCTGTGTGTGTGCGCGTGTGGCGATGGTGTTTCCGAATTATCTTAGGGTTCCACGAGGACATCATGCTTCCCCGCCCAGTCGCTCCCACACCTCAGGAGCACTCCAGCCTCCTTGAACCCTGTGGCCCCATGCAGGAAGGCAGCCTGGGCTGCCTCAGTTCCTGTCACCTCCTCCGTGGTCCCCGTCCCCGCTGCCCTAGAATGCATCTTCTGGCTGTATCTCGCCAGCTTTCTCCGCACGCTCAGCCGCGGTGGCTGGGTCAGGGTACTGCGGTGGTGTCTCCTGTCCGGACCCTCCCCCTAGGGGCTCTGATTACCCTACACGTGCCCGTGAGCACCTGTCAGCCTGGCTCTGCAGCCATTAGTTGTGGCCCTGCTCATGTCTGAGGTCCTGTCGTAGGGATACTGGCATAACCTGTGTGCGCAGCCTGGCCCCGGAACCGCCCTTCCTGCTCCTCCTGAAGGGAGTGGCACCTGGAAAGCCAGGCCTCAGCTGGCTCGGCGTCCAGGAGAGCAGAGCTGTGGAGCTGGGACAGGGCTCTGTGTGCGCCTGTGCACGTGGATCCGTTTTGACGTTTCCAACTCAAATGTCGTATTCTTTTCTTTGTATGTATAGAAACAGAGACTGTTTCTTTCAACACGGCAGAGTTTGGCTCCTAAGAGCATTAGCACGAGGTTCTCCCTGCAGCACACACCAGCTAGCCCCAGAGCGACTGTCCACAGTGGCCCTGGCTCCCCACAGCAGCTTTGCAGAGGGAGGCTGCGGGCTTCCTTCCGACCTGTCTGCACCTGTCGCTGACAGGACAGTCCAAATCCCTCGGGTCAGAGGTATTGGAAGGAATGCTTCTGCATGGCTGGCGACAGTTTACATCCACAGTTGGGTTCTGTTCCTGTTTCTGTACGTTTTGGGCGTTTGCCCTTCTTCCTGCCTCTCAGACCTTAGTTTTTTGTTTTTGTTGGGTTTTTTTTGAGATGTGGTCTCTATCCTTGACCCAGGCTGGAGTGCAGTGGTGTGATCATAGCTCCCTCAGCCTTGACCTCTGGGCTCAAGTGATCCTTCTGCCTCAGCCTCCCAAGTAGCTGGGATCACAGACGTGCACCACCATGCCCAGCTAATTTTTTATTTTAATTTTTTGTAGACATGGGGTCTGTCTGTGTTGCCCAGGCTGGTCTGGAACTTCCTGGCCAGTCTGTCTGCTGTGGCCTCCCATAGTGCTGGGTTTACAGGCGTGAGCCCCTGTGCCTAGCAGCGCAGTGGATTTTGAAGAAACTGCTGCACACGTGTCATCTGGCCTTGCCTTCCTCATTAACAGGAGATCCCGGGAATCACACTGGACGGCGAGAGCGCCTTTTCTGGCCACATCTCGTAGCAGTGGCTGCCCAGGCACTTCCGCAGCCGAGTCTCCAGCCAGGCCGAGTCGCTCCTGCTTCAGGAGGCTCCTGTGCAGAGCCCACTCCACCCGGGGAGATGCTGACTCAGGGTCCAGGCTGCTGGGGCTTTTGTGAGGACTTGAACATTTTTTTTTGTGGTGGAGTCTTGTTCTGTTGTTCAGGCTGGAGTGCAGTGGCGCGATCCAGCTGACTGCAGCATCCGCCTCCTGGGTTTAAGAGATTCCCCCGTCTACCCTCCTGAGTAGCTGGGATTTCAGGTGTGCGCTACCACGCCCGGCTAACTTTTTTGTATTTGTAGTAGAGACAGGGTCTCACCATGTTGCTAAGGCCGGTGTCGAACTCCTGACCTCAGGTGATTTACCTGCCTTGGCTTCCCAAAGTGTTGGGATTATAGGCGTGAGCCACCGCGCCCAGCCGAGAAGGTTTTTTAAAGAAACATTATTTGTAGGAGACCAGGCGCGGTGGATCACTTGAGGCCCGGAGTTCCAGAAGCTTGGCCAACATGGTGAAACCCCATCTCTACTAAAAAAATGCAAAAAATTGGCCAGGTGTGGTGGCTCACGCCTGTAATCCCAGCACTTTGGGAGGCCAAGGGCAGGAAGATCACGAGGTCAGGAGACTGAGACCATCCTGGTTAACATGGATAAACCTGTCTCTACTGAAAATACAAAATTAATTGGGTGTGGTGACGCATGCCTGTATTCTCAGCTACTTGGGAGACTGAGGCAGGGGAATCGCTTGAACCCGGGAGGCAAAGATTACAGTGAGCCAAGAGACTCCATCTCCATTAAAAAAACAAAAAGTTACTTGTAGGATGGGCTTAAGCTTGTTCCATAGTTTTGCTTGTAGGCAGGTGGACGGGACTCGGAGCCCAGCGTGTGCGTGCGTCTGTGTGTGTGCTGTGGCGTCGTTCCTTCTCTGTCACCTTGATTGGTGTCTGCGCTTCCGTTTCCTCTCCCCTGTGTGGCAGTAAGCAGTGTCTGTGTTTCAGGTGGCAGAATCGTGTCCTCGAAACCCTTTGCACCTCTAAACTTCAGAATAAACAGTAGAAACTTGAGTGGTAAGGAACTCTCCCGTTAATTACTAACATGGGTGATTTTAAGCATCTGACATGCCTTATTCCCAGGTCCCTCCCCCTCGGCCCTGTGGACATTGAGGCTGGATCCTTTTTTGGGGTGGGGCCATCCTGGGCACAGCGGGGTGCTGAGTGGCGTCCGTGGCCTCCACCCACTTTATGCCGGGAGTACCCGGTCATGACAACCACAAATGTCCCCAGACAGCACTGTGTGTCCTGGGGGCAGTCATTCCTGGGGAGGCCTGTGGCTTTGAGGGGGAGGAGTGAAGGATTTAAGGGACTCTTTTGGACAGGGACGGCCCCTCGGGGGAAGTAGCTGGCCCCTCCTGCGCCCCCTGCCAGCCTCATGTGTGGCGTGCTCTGTTGGGTCCCTGTCCTTGAGGAGTGTCTGCCCGGGAGGTGCATGTGTTGCTGGGTGCTGGCCAGGTGCAGCCACTATCTAAGTTGCTTCTAGATCTCCTCCCCTCCTTTCCCGTTCCACTCAGCTGGGCCTGCGGCCGTTCTTCTGAGGCTAGAGGCCAGGTGCTGTTCCATGGTGCACCTCCCTGGCCCGGCGGTTGAGGCGGCCTCTGTGGGCTACTGTGGTCTGACTTAGTGTGGGAGGAGAGGGAGGACGTGTGCAGCTCAGGGTTCTGTCCCCTGGCTTGCCCTTGGTGGGTGAGGCGGGCGTGGAGGGGCTGCGGGCGGGCTCGGGCCTCACCTTGGTCTGTGGCTCCCGCAGACATCGGCACCATCATGCGTGTGGTGGAGCTATCGCCCCTCAAGGGCTCAGTGTCGTGGACGGGGAAGCCGGTGTCGTACTACCTGCACACTATTGACCGCACCATAGTGAGTATCTGGCCACGCCCCGGCCGCAGGGCCGCCCTCGACTTCCCCCCAACCACGTCACACCTCCTGCCTTCTTGGTCTGTAAAATGGCAGTCTAAGCAAAGCTCTTCTCCTTTGAGAAACAGTAGCATTGTAATCGTGCTCACATTTACAATGAGGGCCTCTGAGACCCTCACCCCAGAGCCCCGAATGCCCCGCCCCTGCCGCCCCCGGCCCGGGCCCAGCTGCTCAAGGACTCTCGGCACTGCTGGCACTGCAGGACCCACCAGGTTCTCCCAGGCACCGGGCGTGTTCTGGGTACGGGCTGAGCCCTTGTCTGCTCCCAGCCCCTGGGGTGGGGTGGGGTGGGGCCATGGGAGATGCCTGGCCATGAGGGTCCTGGCCACTATATCCAGAGGCCCCTGTGAACGGGAGTCCCACATCCCTTTCCCAGTTCCTTCGATGTAAGAGGGTCCAGATGGTGGAGACGCCAGGGTCCATGGGCGGGGGCTGGGATGCTTCTTCCCTCCCTGTGCTTCCCGGTGTCCTCTGACATGGCCCCGGGCCAGCGTGGGGCCTGCCTCCCTCTCACGGTGCTTCCCCAACGGCCCCTTCGCACGGGTTCCCCAAGCCTCCTGCCATGTGGGCGGTGCAGCCCTCGACGCTGGGAGGCTTCCCCTGGTCTCTTTCCCGTCCTTTGGTTGGGCACTGAGTTTCTGTTTTTTGGGGTCTCGGCGGTTTTCCTCACTGTGGTGCTGGTGTGTCCAGACCCTCAGTGTCGGGTGCTTGGAGCCTCCACTACAGCCTTCCTGGGGAGCGCTGATGCAGCCGCGGGCCGACCGCCCCAGGCAGATGCACCCCGTCCCTCCCACTGCCCCCCTGAGTGCGCTGGGATGAGAGGCAAGGTGAGCGGAGGTTGAGGCTCTGGGGCGATGCCCAGCGTGCGGCCCACCCCCGGCAGTGCTGCTGCCTGCTCATCTCGGCCCCTCGCCTTCCTGGGAGGCAGATGCGATGTGTCAGTGCACCCTCTTCCAGAAGCCACGTCCCAGGCCTGTGTCCGTCCTGAAGGCTTAAAGCCGCCCCGCCCCAGCTGTCACCTGCTGGTGAATTGAGGGTGATGTCTGGCCACAGTTGGGTCAGTCACATCCGCGTTTGCTGCCAGGGGCTCCAGCTGCATGCCTGGTGTCCCCAAGTACCAGAACAGCCTCCCCCGCTCTCTGAGGAGCTGATGTTACCTGGGTGTCCAGGCAAATCCAAGCAGAGATTGGGACTCTCTTCTAATGAGGTTTCTCTTTCTTCTTTTTAGCTTGAAAACTATTTTTCTAGTCTGAAAAACCCAAAACTCAGGGTAAGTTTGTGTATTTTCTCCAATGTGGGAGAGTCAGAGCCGCGTGGTGGGTTCCCGAGCCATGACGGGCGCAGCCCTGCCCCCTCCTGCCCCTCCTCCCATCCTCTCCCCACCCCGGCCTCCCCGGCCTCCTCCCACCTTTCCCCTGCTTCTCTCTCCCCATTCAGTCTCTGTCTCTATCTGTGCTTTGCCTTGTCTTCGATGGTCTGGCCTGGGCCATCCTTTTCCTTGTTGATACCCATTTTGGGGGAGGTGGCTTGAGTTAGCTTTGGTGATGGGGTGAGTTGCACTGAAGGACTGCGTGGGTGAATGACCTGCTTTCTCATGAGGCCTGGGGGGCCACATGTTGTACTTGTCCCCCCTCGGTGTCGAGTGCAGCTCCTGGGCCACCACCGCTCTGCGCTTCCGAGGCAGGCTGTCCCCGCGTTTTGCAGTCGTGCGGAAGCCTGTCTTGGGAGCTGCAGTGACGGCCCTGCCCACTGCTGCTTCTGCAGCCTCAGACTCGCCTGCGTATTTGCCACCAAAGCTGAGAGGCTGTTTGTCCAAGCGTCCTTTCCTTTTGGAGGGTCAGATGAGATCAGTGTGCGGAGAACCCCACCCACAAACAGCTCTGTCACTACCTAGACTTGTAGCTGGGGCTGGGCTGTAACCTGACCTCAGAGCGTGGTACCCCTTGGGGGTCCTGTGTCCTTCCCACTGTGCTTAGTGGGGGTGCAGGTCTTCTCTGAAGAGCAGAACAGCCCAAGGTGGTTGGTGCACCCTGTGTTCTTCCTGTGTGTCACCGCGTCCCACGTGTGGGCGTTGGCGCCTTTCGCCGAGAGGAGAGAGGGCAGGGGAGGCTGTGGGCTGCGGCTTCTGGGTCCTGCTGCCTGAGGCTCATCTCGTCTCATTTCGTGGATGTGGCTCTTTCTCTCCATGGCCCACAGTCAGGCCTCTTACTGACGAGTGTGTGTGATCTTGGGAGTGGCTGTGAAGACAGTCATCTGTGTCCACGGGTCACGTCCTGGCCTTTGGGGCCCCAAGCAGCCCACTGCTGTCTCTGGGCCTCAGCTTCCTGATTTGTGCCGCAGAGGACAGACAGAGTTGGGCCTGTGGTCCCCTCGAGTCTGAGCCCTGCATGCCCCTGGGTTCAGGAGGGCTGTGGGCAGCACCAGGGCTCACAGGGGCTCAATCACTCCTTCCAGGAGGAACAGGAGGCAGCCCGGCGCCGCCAGCAGCGCGAGGGCAAGAGCAACGCGGCCACGCCCACCAAGGGCCCCGAGGGCAAGGCAGCTGGCCCTGCCGAAGCCCCCATGGTGAGCCCCCACCTGGCTACCGATGCTGGAGGGCGCCGCCCCTGACCCGGGAGACCCCATTGGCGGGAGGCTTTGCACTCACCCCTGCCCTTCCCTTGGGTCCTCCAGGACTCTGGTGCTGAGGAAGAGAAGGCGGGAGCAGCCACCGTGAAGAAGCCGTCTCCCTCCAAAGCCCGCAAGAAGAAGCTGAACAAGAAGGGGAGGAAGATGGCAGGCCGCAAGCGTGGGCGCCCCAAGAAGATGAACACTGCGAACCCCGAGCGGAAGCCCAAGAAGAACCAAACTGCACTGGATCTCCTACACGCGCAGACCGTGTCTCAGACAGCGGCCTCCTCGCCCCAGGGTGAGTCACCCCTACCCCACGGCGCCCGCCATCCCCAAGTGCAGAGGACGCCGCCCTCCTGAGCCCTGGGTATCCAGGGAGTCCCGGGAGCCTCCCTGGTGTGGCTATGCCGTCGGGGCGGCCCCGTCCTAAGGCATGCCGGGCACTTGCCCCATGCTGACACCCGCCCACTGCTCTGCCCCAGATGCCTACAGGTCCCCTCACAGCCCGTTCTACCAGCTACCTCCGAGCGTGCAGCGGCACTCCCCCAACCCGCTGCTGGTGGCGCCCACCCCACCCGCACTACAGAAGCTGCTAGGTGAGTTCTCGAGCGCAAGGGGCCAGCGGAGGGGTTTGGGCTTGGGGCGGTCCTGGGAGGACCATGGGTTGTGACTCTGACCTCGCGGCAGCCCTCATGACCCCCATGCTGGACCCCACTGAGGTTCACCCAGGGTGGGGGTCTGCCTGCTGCAGGGGTCAGGAGAGGCTCAGATGCAGCCCGTGGGTTGTTTGAGGTTTCACTCAGGAGATGCGGGGTGACACTTGGGACATCTGTGGTTGTCATGACTGGATGGTGCTGTTGGCCTGGGGCGAGTGACGGCTAGGGATGTTGCTGAGGGCCCTGCAATGCCCTGCACAGTGGACATTGGGCGGAGCAGGGGTCCGGGGCATGTGGTGTGGGCCCCGCAGGGCTCTGCCAGGTTCCTGCCTCCTAAGCGCCTGCCCCGACCCTGTGCTAGTTTCTCACGGCTGCTCCGACTTCCTCCCAGCCTCGGCTGCCCTCGTCTCACCTGTGCTGCGCCTCTCTTCCCAGAGTCCTTCAGGATCCAGTACCTGCAGTTCCTGGCGTACACGAAGACCCCCCAGTACAAGGCCAGCCTGCAGGAGCTGCTGGGCCAGGAGAAGGTGGGTCCCAGCCCCTCAGATTCCTCCTGCCCGCACGGAGACAGGCTGGTTCGGTTCCCAGGCATCTGTTCCCCACAGGAGAGGCCCTGGAACACAGGCCTGAGTGGCTCCCTCTTCCCCTCAGCTGCTGGGAGAAACAAACTGACCTGTTTTAAACCCAAAGAATGGACTGAGAGACCCAGAGAAGAGCGAATAGAGACTCTTCATAGGGTTTTGCCAGATCCGGTGTCTCAGGGCCACACCCGGCAGTTTCAGCCAGCAGTGCGCCCCCTCGCGCGCAGCCCTCCCCCCGTCTCACGGGCTGAGGACGGTGGGGTCCCAGTCCTCCCGGGTGTCGCCTGGTGGTTGTTGGGCAGGGACTTTAGGTGTTTTCTCTAGGGTTGTCTTGCTGCATTTTGTCACTGCCCACAATGCATTGCAATCCTAGTAAGCTCAGGGGCTCTTCAAGTACCTGACTCATGGCCTGAATGGGGGCAGGCTCGTAAGAACAGGCAAAGCAGGCTACTGAACGTTGATCTTAGACTCAACTTCTTTGGCTTGGGTGAGGCAACTAAGCAGGGGAGGGGGCTGGGGAGGCCGAGAAGCAGGCATCAGAGATCCAGGCGGGGGCCTAGTATATGCTGTCTGCTGCGGTGTGCTCACCTAAGCCGATTCAAGGCACTTCGTCTTGGAAATGGACCACTGTATACATGATTTCCTTCACCTGAGGTCCCGGCTGTGGGGCAGCCCCCACGCCTCTGATCTCCCCCAGGGAGCTGTGGAGGACCTGCCTCAGTGCGGAGCTAGGGCCAGGCTGTGGGTGGAAGTTCTGGTGGCCCAGAGGTGGCTCCAGAAGCCACTGGAGCCATGAGGTCTACTGTCTCTGAGCCCTGGTTTGCATTTTGGACTTAGGTTTTGCTTTAAAGAAGCTTACAAGGCCGGACGCAGTGGCTTGCGCCTGTAATCCCAGCACTTTGGGGGGCTGAGGCAGGCGGATCACAAGGTCAGGAGTTTGAGACCAGCCTGTCCAATATGGTGAAACCCCGTCTCTACTAAAAATACAGAAATTAGCTGGGCATAGTGGCAGGCGCCTGTAATCTCATCTACTCTGGAGGCTGAGGCAGGAGAATCACTTGAACCCTGGAGGCGGAGGTTACAGTGAGCTGAGATCGCGCCATTGCACTTTAGCCTGGGTGACAGAGACTCCGTCTCAAAAATAAAAAGCCTACGGGGTGCTTTGAGCACAGACACACGGACTGCTTCCTGTGGCTGACAGCAGGCCCAGGCCGGGGCTCTGTTCTGGGCCGCTGTCTGGGTGTTGTCCCATGGCAGTGGCTCCTGGCTCTTCCCTTCGGGGCAGGCCAATGGGGCACTGCAGCAGGCTTCCTTGCAGATCCGTGTCAAAAGTCCATCCCCTGGTATTGCCTTGGGGTAAACTCCTAGACGCCGGCTTCCCTCCACAGCAGAGCTGGCCCCTCCCACCGCGGCCTGAGTGTTACTGGGCATCTCAGCCCAGTGTGGGTCCCCTCAGGCATGTCTGTCCTTGAGCGCATCTGCAGGGAGGTGTGAGAGGCAGGGCGTGGGCCTTCACTGCGGGCCCTCAGCCACCTGCCCCGTCCGTCCTGCAGGAGAAGAACGCCCAGCTCCTGGGCACGGCTCAGCAGCTCCTCAGCCACTGCCAGGCCCAGAAGGAGGAGATCAGGAGGCTGTTCCAGCAGAAGCTGGATGAGGTAGCGGCTCCCGGAGGGCTGACGGCAGCTGGGGCGCAGCCGGGCGGCCTTCCTGTGGCTCCCGTCTAGGCCTCTGTCCGGCCATTTCTCCTGGGCTGGGCTGCAGGGGTTTCCATGCCTGGGGGCTTCCTTCACATTGGAGGCCACCAGCGTAACCGCCACCCCACCCTGTGTCCCCAGCTGGGTGTGAAGGCGCTGACCTACAACGACCTGATTCAAGCGCAGAAGGAGATCTCCGCCCATAACCAGCAGCTGCGGGAGCAGTCGGAGCAGCTGGAGCAGGACAACCGCGCACTCCGCAGTCAGAGCCTGCAGCTGGTGGGGGCCGCCGCGCCGGGACAGGGACATAGAGGGAGCCAGAGGGACCCCGCCTGGGCGGGTGTGTCCTCTGTGCGGGCGGGAGGCTCTGGAATGCCGCCTCTGTTGTGGGGTTGGTTCCCAGACGAATTGTGAGGCCTGTGAAAGCTTGTGGAGCCCGTCACAGCAGGCCAGCTGTGGCAGGCTCGAGGTGTGGGGTCCCGTGAGATCCCCCTGCTGTGGTGTGGGTGCCAGAGCTGCCTCGTCTGTCTGTTTGGGCCCCAGTCTTCACTGGTTCCCCATCCTCAGCTAGTGAAGCTCGCCAGGGCCACACACGTGAGCAAGCAGCTAGGCCTCATGTGGGTGGCTATTCCAGAAGCGGGTTCTGTTCTCTAAGCACGCAGGCTGTTGGCCGAGGCTGGTCCAGGGAGCCCTTGCCCTGAGGGTGCGGAGTGCGCCGTGCTGCCAGTCAGCCAGTTGACGCTGTCGCGTCCCTGTCCCATCAGCTCAAGGCTCGCTGCGAGGAGCTACAGCTGGACTGGGCCACGCTGTCCCTGGAGAAGCTGCTGAAGGAGAAGCAGGCCCTGAAGAGCCAGATCTCAGAGAAGCAGAGGCACTGCCTGGAGCTGCAGGTGGGCTGGGCGTGGGGCTACACTGCGAGGTGCCCAAGAGGCTCCCGTCGGCCTCCCTGTGACAGCATTGAGGCCCCGGGGTGGTTGTGGATGCAGCAGCCTAGGAAGAGGGTGGAGGAGGCTTGTGGAACCTTCTCTCCTAGGCTGCAGGCTGGCCGTGTGGACGGCTGCGCCTCACTCTTGCCCTTAGCTCTCTGGGGCATGTCGGGCGTGCTCAGCTGAGTGCACAGTGTTGACCTAGGATTTCTTGGCTTCCTCCTCCGACTGCTTCTGCAACAGTCATGGGCAAAATTTGCTCTAGAAAATCGCTGGAACAGAGCAGGGGCTCATGTTTGTAATCCCAGCGCTTTGGGAGGCTGAGGCGGGTGGATCACTTGAGGTCAGGAGTTGGAGACTAGCCTGGCCAACACCGTGGGACCCTGGCCCTACCAAAAATGCAAAAGTTAGCCGGGTGTGGTGGTACGTGCCTATAGTTCCAGCTACCGGGGAGGCTGAGGCAGGAAGATCATTTGAGCCTGGGAGGTGGAGGCTGCAGCGAACCGAGATTTTTACACTGCATTCCAGCCAGGGTGACAGAGCCAGGCCCTGTCTGAAAAATAAAATAGCTCATACTTTCTGACACCGAGAAACGTGTTTATGGAGGCCGAGTAGAGGAGGCGTGGAGCAGGGCGTGTGGCGGGAAGGTGCTATCCTCCTGGGCAGGAGCTCGTGCGCAGCTGCCGTGCAGTCTGGAAAGCAGCAGGTCGCGGGCTTGGTTCTCACAGCTCTGTGCCTTCGAGGCTGTGCCTGCCTGCTGAGCTCACATGTCCCCGGCGTGTTTTCACTGTTGATGGGCATGGTGCCTCGTCACCAGCTCTCTGTTGTCCTTTCAAAGGCCTTCACCAAAGCCTTGCTACGAGGCTGCCCCGAGAGGCAGGAGCCCACACATGCTGGCATCGGGAAGCGCCACCCACATGCGGCCTAGCTGCTTGCTCACGTGTGTGGCCCTGGCGAGCCTCAGTAGCGTACCTTGAGAAACGGAGGTCGTGACCTCGTTCCCACAGCCAGGCCGCATGGAGTAGAGGCCTTGGGAGGAGCATATTTGGGTTCAAACTCTTTTTGTCATAGTCTGTTTTCTGCAATAAACGATATGTGTTTGTTAAAAGAAAGGAAAGCAGAGAAACAGAACAGACAAACCGAAAGGAAAAAGCCCTTCCCAGACTCCACGCCAGGGGCAGCACTGCCAGGCTCCAGTGGCGTGTCCCGCCACAGGTGTCTCTGCATGTTTCACACTTAGAGTCTATTTTAAGAGACCAGAGCACTCTGTATCTTCCTGTTACTCTTTTTGGAGAATGTGTTTTCATGTCAATGGAAACCATCCTTGGCCCTCCATGTTACTTAATTTGACGTCCCCAAGCTTCCCAACCCCGCTTGTAGGTATTCAGTGGTTTTGGTTTTTCCATCCCACATGAGCACCAGGGTCCTGGCCGCCCCTCCAGGGGTCCGTCTGTGGCACAGCCCTGGGTCCCTGGTGTGGTCCCAGGCAGGGCGGGTCTGACGCCGCCTCTCCTGCTGCAGATCAGCATCGTGGAGCTGGAGAAGAGCCAGCGGCAGCAGGAGCTCCTGCAGCTCAAGTCCTGTGTGCCACCAGACGACACCCTGGCCCTGCACCTGCGCGGGAAGGGCACCCTGGGCCGCGAGCTGGAGCCTGACGCCGGTCGGCTGCATCTGGAGCTGGACTGCGCCAAGTTCTCGCTGCCTCACTTGAGCAGCATGAGCCCAGAGCTCTCCATGAATGGCCATGCTGCCAGCTATGAGCTCTGCAGCGCGCTGAGCCGGCCCTCGCCCAAGCAGGACACGCCCCAGTACCTGGCCTCACCCCTAGACCAGGAGGTGGTACCCTGCACCCCCAGCCACGGCGGCCGTCCGCGCGTGGAGAAGCTGTCTGGCCTGGCTGTGCCCGACTACACCAGGCTGTCCCCGGCCAAGATCGTGCTGAGGCGGCACCTCAGCCAGGACCACACGGTGCCAGGCAGGCCGGCCGCCAGCGAGCTGCACCCGAGGTAAGTGCCCTGGCTGGTGAGGGTCTGCACCTGGTGCCTGTGGACTCCGTCTGGTGCACTCCAGCTGTTGGAGGTCTCAGCAGGAGGGCATCTGTTGAGGAGACCAAGGTGGGGAGGTGTTGGGCCAGGCCGCTGCGCCTGAGCACCAGCCGGAGGCACCAAGTGGCCCTTGAGGGTGACTGCAGCTTCTCATTCCAGAGCTGAGCACACCAAGGAGAATGGCCTTCCCTACCAGAGCCCCAGCGTGCCCAGCAGCATGAAGCTGAGCCCCCAGGACCCGCGACCCCCATCCCCTGGGACCCTGCAGCTTGCTGGAGAGAAGAGCAGTGAGAAGGTGTGGGCCACAGCCCCTGCCTGGTGCTCATGGGGGTGCTCAGCAGAGGCAGCCCTGGCAACTTGCTAGCAGGGGCTTGTCCTGGTTGACCTTGGGGCACGGTGAAGGACTGGGGCTGCCTGGGGGACGTTGTGGCTGAGTTGGGGGGGCAGGCAGTAAGGACAGGTCACAGGTGATGCTGGGCAGGTGCCATGGAGGGTGTGGGGTTTGTCGGGGTGTCCCTGATGCCCTGCTATTCTCAGTGATGGGTGGTGAGGGCTGGTGGAGACTCATAGCCCAGTTTGGAAGGCTGCTGCCTATGAGGACTGCCTGGGGGCACTGGCCTGTGTGTGCAGGGATAGATGGTGACGTTGCATGGACTTAGCAGTGATAGATGCAGGCCCAGGGAGGCTCAGTGGCCCCACAGGTGACAGCCCACTGAGCCGGGCGGGTAGGCTGGAGGGAACACATGGGCATGGCTTTCAGACACGACACCAGGAACGTGCTGTGCCTCTGGAGTGACCCAGCGCTGCTGTCCAGGAGTTCCTGTGTGGGGCAGGTTGCGGGGCCTTGGCAGCCTGGGGGCCGCCTTGAGAGAGCAGCTGCGGGCCCCTGTCTCGTGGCTGTGGTTCCGGTGTCCTGGAGGGGTGTGTTGACCTGCAGCCTGGGGCCCGGTGTTTGTCTGCAGGGCCTGAGAGAGCGTGCCTACGGCAGCGGCGGGGAGCCCATCACCAGCCTGCCCATCAGCATCCCGCTCAGCACCGTGCAGCCGAACAAGCTCCCGGTCAGCATCCCCCTGGCCAGCGTGGTGCTGCCCAGCCGCGCTGAGAGGGTGGTGAGTGCTTCCCAGGGAGGTCCCCAAGGGCCACATTGAGGCCAAACCGTTTGGGGTTCCCGAGCGCCAGCTCGCTCGTGAGGATTCACATGCTTTAACGCCTGAGCTTGCGACAGTGCAGTGAGGGGGCCGTGCGCACCCGGTGCAGCCACTCAGCTCTGCCGCTGTCGCCAGCCTTTTGCTTTTGGGTAAAAGGTGGGTGCGCAGGTGGAGAGGGTGTCACGTCTCGGTTGAGGAGGAGCTCAGAGGCCCAGCCTGGCTCCCAGCCTCCTCCTCACGACGCTCCTTTGCCTGCCGTGGCCCCGGTCATCGCAGCCGCTCTTGGGTTCTCCCACACCACGCCGTGCCCGCAGAGAATCTCATCCTGTGGAGCATGGGTGGGGTTTTCTGGGCATTGAGCTCTTTCTTTTTAAAAAATTTTCTGTTTCAGGTGTACATTTTCATGGTTTTTAGCATTTTTTTTTTTTGAGATGGAGGCTTGCCCTGTCACCAAGACTGGAGTACAATTGTGCGATCTCGGCTCACTGCAGCCTCCACCTCCCAGGTTCAAGCGATTCTCCTGCCTCAGCCTCGCAAGTAGCTGAGATTGCAGGTGCCTGCCACCATGCCCAGCTAATTTTTGTATTTTTTGTAGAGATGGGGTTTCACCATCTTGGCCTGTCTGGTCTTGAACTCCTGATGTCAGGTGATCCACTGGCCTTGGCCTCTCAAAGTCCTGGGATTATAGGCATGAGCTACCACACCTGGCCAATTTTTGTATTTTTTTTTTTTGAGACGGAGTTTCACTCTTGTTACCCAGGCTGGAGTGCAATGGCGGGATCTCGGCTCACCGCAACGTCTGCCTCCTGGGTTCAGGCAATTCTCCTGCCCCAGCCTCCTGAGTCGCTGGGATTACAGGCACGCGCCACCATGCCCAGCTAATTTTTTGTATTTTTAGTAGAGACGGGGTTTCACTATGTTGACCAGGATGGTCTTGATCTCTTGCCCTTGTGATCCACTCGCCTCGGCCTCCCAAAGTGCTGGGATTACAGGCTTGAGCCACCGCGCCCGGCCCCAATTTTTGTATTTTTAATAGAGGTGGGGTTTCACCATGTTGGCCAGGCTGGTCTTGAACTCCTGGCCCTCAAGCAATCCACCTGGCTCAGCCATCCACAGTGCTGGGATTCCAGGCATGAGCTCTGGCACCCAGCCGGGTTTTCTATTTTTACACGCCTCTGTCTAATTCCGGGGCATTTTCTTCACCCCAGAAGTGATGCTCTGCTTAGCAGTCACTCCTTAGCCCTCCCCCAGCCCTCCCAGGCCCCTGAACGTGCTCAAGTCCAGGCCTGTCCCGCCTCTTGACTTGGTGCGTGATGGCATTCCCCAGGTGGATGGAGTGCGCTGTCGTCATCCCAGCCCAGTTGATGGGCACCGAGTTGTCTCCACGTGTTGGCAGTTGTGAATCCTTGTGCTGTGAATGTCGGGTCCAGGTTTTGTGTGGATGGAGGCTTGTTCTTTGGCTCATGTGGAGCCTCTGGGCCCCAGGGTCACTCTGCTGACCTTTGTTGGACCTGCAGTGTGGCGGCCTGTGGGTGTGTTCTCACGTGGCAATCCTCGCCCCACGTGACTGCTGACATTTGTCTGTGCTGCTCAGAGAAAGCAGCCGGTTTCCCTGTAGAGGGTGGGCGTGGGTGGTTTGTGTTGTGCCCAGTACCCCCGTCCCACAGCCGGACCCTGGGACTCCCACCTCCTGACCTCCCTGCCTCAGGCCCGCCGCATCATTCACACGCTGGCGCTGCCCTGCGCCACCCACCCAGGGCCCTGCTGCAGTCCTTCACCCGCTGCCCTCTTCCCACCCCGGACTGGACGGTGACCCCGGCCAACTGCATTCACTGTTACCAGCTGGGTTCTGGGCCTCCCCCTGACACATTGGCTTTTCTCTCTGCAGAGAAGCACCCCCAGTCCTGTGCTGCAGCCCCGAGACCCCTCGTCCACACTTGAAAAGCATATTGGTGCTAATGCCCACAGTGCTGGGAGCAAAAGCCTTGCCCTGGCCCCTGCAGGTAACGTCCCCCCTGTGTCCTATCCTCGGGACTTGGCTGCTGCTGCTGCCCTTCAGAGCAGGAGGGCTGGGTGCCGGGAGTGGAACAGGGCTTCCGGGGCGATCATCGGGCTGCCCTGGACCACCGGGCCTCCTTCCCGACATCCTTTCCTGCATCCCACAAGCTGGGATGAAGATATGGCCCAGCTTCGGCCATGACAGCCTCAGGCCTGTGTCTCCCGACACTGACACCTCACACCTGTCTGTATTCCGCCGTGGGGTCAGCCCCAGCCCTGTTCGGGCTCCTGCACTCTCAGCTGGGAGGCCCCTGACTCAGTGCACGGTGGCACACGGCCACGGGCCTCTGTGCTGGCGGCAGCTTGGTTTCGGGTTCCGTGAACAGTCTCTGCTGGTAGCCCAGTTTCTGTAAAGAGCCAGAGGGGGCGCCGCGCAGGTCTCTGTCATGACCGTGCAGGGCTGTCTAGTGTGGAAGCCACAGAGACACTGCCAGTGAGTGTGGCTGTGTGCCAGTGAAGCTGCTTACAACAGCGGAGGGCTCAGGCTCTCAGGCTTGTCTGCTGGCCCTGTGTTGACATGTGGCGTGATGTGGCATCTACTTTTTTAGGAGTAACAAGTAAAATGTGACCCACGCCTATAAGCCCAGCACTTGGGGAGGGAGAGGTGGGCAGATCACCTGTGAGACTGGCCCGGCCAAAAATGTGAAACCCCGTCTCTACTAAAAATATAAAAATTAGCTGGGTGTGGTGATGGTCACTTGTAATCCCAGCTAATCGAGAGGCTGAGGCCGGAAAAATTACTTGATCCTGGGAGGTGGAGGTTGCAGTGGGCCGAGATGATACCTCTGCACTCCAGCCTGGGTGACAAGAGCGAAACTCCGTCCCCAAACCAAAACCAACAACAAAGCAACAGCAGAGTGCAGAGCACACGGCTGCTGTCAGGACTGGAGGCTCTAGGGTGGCTGGGCGGCGTCAGGGTTGACCGCGTGAGGGCCCTGGAGAGGCCACCCAAGCCCGGCAGCTCTGCTCTGGCAGGCTTGTGCCCTTGGGATGAGGTCTGTTCTGTGAGAGGCAGTGGCAGTATCGGGAGGTGTGCACCTGGGTCATAAATAGGCAACTAACTCCAGCCGCCCTTTGTCCTGGGTGGTCCCAGAAGTGCACAGCTCACTGTGGGCTGGGGAGCGCGGCCTTAGCCTTCAGGGCAGCCATAGGCTCGAGGGTCCAAGCTGAGTTGTTGTCTGAGAACAGGAGGGAGGGAGGCCACTGAGCCATGGGCTTTCCTTGAGGTGTCTCTGAGATCACAGGGGCAGAGGGGACCTCACAGGTGCCCAGCTCAACGGGGAGCCCACACCGGGAAGCTTCTTGAGGGGAGGCAGCATCTCAGCCGAGACCTGCAGGGCACAGGCAGCCCAGATGAATGGGAGGAGGCACAGGGTCAGCCCTGAGCCCTGAAGTTGCCCACAGAGTCTTCTGGTTCCACCACAGAGGGGCCATTTCAGCCTCCTAGCCCTGTTCCCTGCTTCATCGCCTCTCCTGGAGCCCACGGAGCTCCTGGAGGGAGGTACTCCCACAGCCTGGCTTCCTAGTCAGCCAAGGTGGGGCCCAGCATCTCCCCTGTGGACTGAGGCAGTCTTGCGTCGCCTAAGAACCCCATGTCCTTCCCGGCAGGCTTCTCCTATGCTGGCTCGGTGGCTATCAGCGGGACCCTGGCAGGCAGCCCAGCCTCTCTCGCTCCTGGAGCCGAGCCTGCCGCCTTGGATGAGTCCTCCAGCTCTGGGAGTCTGTTTGCCACTGTGGGGTCCCGCAGCTCCACGCCACAGCATCCCCTGCTGCTGGCACAGCCCCGGAACTCGCGCCCGGCCTCTCCCGCCCACCAGCTCTCCTCTAGCCCCCGGCTCGGTGGGGCTGCCCACGGCCCGCTCCCCGAGGCCAGCAAGGGGGACCTGCCCTCCGATTCCGGCTTCTCAGATCCGGAGAGCGAGGCCAAGAGGAGGATCGTGTTCACCATCGCCACCGGCGCGGGCGGCACCAAGCAGTCGCCTTCCAGCAAACACAGCCCCCTGACCGCCAGCGCCCGCGGGGACTGTGTGCTGAGCCACGGCCAGGACAGCCGCAAGCGTGGCCGGCGGAAGCGAGCGTCAACGGGGACGCCCAGCTTGACCGCAGGCGTGTCCCCCAAGCGCCGAGCCCTGCCGTCTGTCGCTGGTCTTTTCACGCAGCCTTCAGGGTCTCCTCTAAACCTCAACTCCATGGTAAGGATGGGGACCGGCAGGGCCAGGGAGCACGGCCCATGGAAGAAAGACCAGAGGGAGGTGGGGGGCCATGACAGAGGCCGGTCATCTGTCCCCCGCCACATGCGGCCGTGGCAGCCTGGGAAGAGGCGGCCCACAGCTGCCCCAGGGGTTTGGAGCAGCTGTGAGCTGCCTGAAAGCTTCATTCTCGGCGGTGGGGCCTTGGTGGAGGTGGGCACACGAGGAGTGGGTGTGGGGGCTCTGGGCTGTGGGTGTGGTATGTGAGGACCAGAAGGAACCAGGACTGAGGCCGCATGGGCCACCCAGACGGAGCATCTGTTTTCTCAGGAAACTCTGGGGTACAGGCAGGAGCCTCCTGGGTCGTGGGTGGGGCTCTCCTGCCTTGGGATCCTGGCCTGTGCTGTGTGCATCTGCTGCGTCTGTCTGCCCTCAGGTCAATAACATCAACCAGCCCCTGGAGATTACAGCCATCTCATCCCCTGAGACCTCCCTGAAGAGCTCCCCTGTGCCCTACCAGGACCACGATCAGCCCCCCGTGCTCAAGAAAGAGCGGCCCCTGAGCCAGACCAATGGGGCACACTACTCCCCGCTCACCTCCGACGAGGAGCCAGGCTCTGAGGACGAGCCCAGCAGCGCCCGGCAAGTCCAGGGTCCCGGATGGGGGCAGGGCCTGGCAGCAGGGGCAGGAGGTGTGCACTCACCATGCGTGGGTGAGGAGGGTCAGCAGACTCCGAGGGGGTGCCCTGGAGGGGAGAGAGGCATCTGTTTTGTGAGGGACCTCCCTGCAGGTCCTGGGCTCTGTTGTGGGCAGGGCCGGCCTCCTAAGTTGTTGGGGGTGGGATCCTGGCACACAAGTGGGGACACCAGTTAGAACCGGCCAAGCTGGCCAGGCGAGGCGGCTCGCACCTGTCATCTCAGCACTTGGGAGGCCACGGTGCGCAGATCACCTGAGGTCAGGAGTTGCAAATCAGCCTGATTAACGTGGAGAAACCCTGTCTCTACTACGAATATGAAATTAGCTGGGCGTGGCGATGCACGTCTGTAATTCCAGCTACTCAGGAGGCTGAGGCTGGAGAATCGCATGAACCTGGAGGCGGAGTTTGCAGTGAAGCAAAATTTCGCATTGCACTCCAGCCTGAGCAACAAGACAGTGAAACTCTGTCTCAGAAAAAAAAAAAAAATGCCAAGCTCAGTAGGAGCTGAGCGCAGCAGGAGAGACCTTTCAGCAGTGAGGCGTTTGGGGCTCATCTGCACGCCTTGCTCAGTGTATTAGAGGAGCTTTACTAGATAAACTTAACCTATCAGGTCCCCCTTTTAAAGTGTGCACTTCAGAGGTCTTTGGTATGTCCGCGTTACCACTGCCGAAATCCAGAACCTTCCATCCTCTCCAAAGAAACACTCACTCCCCAACCCCTCCCCAGAGCCCTTGGCATGACCCATCCTACCTTCTGTCTCAGTGACTCTGAGGGCTCGAGGGACCTCCTAGGAGTGGAATCACAGAGGGTGTGTCTATTTGGGTCTGGCATCTCTCCCTGGTCCTCAAGGTGACTGGAGGTGCGTCACCATGCGTCCACCCGTTGCTGGGCTTGCCATTCTTGGCAGTTGTGAGTGGCACTGCTGTGGCCGTGGGTGTGCGTGTTGTGTTTGAAAATGAGTTTCCAGGTGTCTGGGCGGAGGAGCTGGGTGACCCAGCCCTTGTGCTCCTCAGCAGCTGCACCATTCCACCTGCTGCCATGGGCACACGGCGGGGCTAAGGTCCCCACATCCTTGCCACGATGAATTTCTCTGTTTGATTCTAGCCGTCCAAGTTGTTGCGAAGTGGTATCACATTGTGGGGTTTTTGATTTTTTTTTTTTTTTTTTGAGACGGAATCTTACTCTGTTGCCCAAGCTGGAGTGCGGTGGCGCAGTCTCAGCTCACTGCAACCTCCACCTCCCAGGTTCAAGTGATTCTCCTGCCTCAGCCTCCCGAGTAGCTCTGGCTGCAGGCACCCGCCACCACCATGCCTAGTTGATGTTTTTGTTTTACAGAGGTGGGGTTTTGCCATATTGCCCAGGCTGGTCTGAAACTCCTGGCCTCAAGCGGCCCGTCTGCCTCTGTCTCCCCGCGTGCTGGGATTGTAGGTGTGCGCCATCGCAGCCAGCCCTGAGAGCTCTTGGTGGTGGTCTGAGTTAGTTCGTTTTGCTCCGCTCCAAATACGCATGCCCGTTAAATAGAAAACATCCTAGCACGTGGGTGCTGTTTGCGTTGGGATTGCTCAGCTTAGTGTTTGCAGAGTGTTTGGGAATTCTGGTGTCCCTGCTGTGTTCCTGGGACACTGGATGAAACCAGCCCCGTGAAGCGTGTGGGTGGACGTGGCTTGCACGCCGGCCTGCGAGGCGGTGGCGTTGTCTGCCCCCTGAGGCACCGAAGTCTGGGGCCAGGGGAGGAAGCTGGGAAGGGACCTCTGTCTGGACGCCCACGCTTCTGTGTGCTTGGGAAGTGGCTTCCCCATTCAGCTGCCATGCTCGAGCTCTTGGCCCCTTGTCCCAGCACAGGCCCTGGAGTCTCTACCAAGACAGTGCCCTTGTGGCACGATGGGGGTGGATCCCAGGGCCCAGCTGCACAATCCGGGCCTGACCCAGGGTGGCTGCATGGATCTCCCGTCCGGCCCAGGTGCTGCTGCTTGTCTACCGTCTCCCCACTCCTGGCTGTTTGCTGTCAGCATTTGCATCACTCTTAGTATGCACCTGGGTTTCAAACATTAATGACGTTTCTTTCTTAACAGAATTGAGAGAAAAATTGCAACTATCTCCTTAGAAAGCAAATCTCCCCCCAAAACCTTGGAAAATGGTGAGTAACAAGTGCTCTGGGACGTGGCCAGGCCTGTCCATTTGGCCGTGGTGCTGTTAGTGCTGCTGACCGCAACACTGGGGGCTCTGGGCTTCTGGAACTGCTTCCGGGAGGCCCTCACGGCAGCCCAGGGCCTCCGCGCACACGCCGCACTCTTGCAGTGGGTGCTCACCTGCAGGTGTTCGCCTTGGGTGCCTTGTTCTTTTCGGACCCTGGCCTTCCCCCAAGAGGTGTCTGCTTTCATCGTCTGTTGAGTCTGCGTCCTCTGTGAGGCCCCTGGCCTGCTCAGGGACGACCCCACCTTTCCTCCCAGAGGCCTCTGGCCTCCAAATTTTCCCCAGAGCTAAGGTTGAGCTCATCCTACCCGGGCTCCTCTGACACCCTCTTGAGCTGCCTCGGTCCTGTCCCATCCATTCCCGTCTCATCCTGTGCTGTGCCCCGCCTGTTGGGTCCCAGCCTGCTTGGCGTCTTGCACATCTGCGGCAGCCCTGTCTGCAGAGTTGTTCGTGCTGCGGCAGCAGCCCCGGTTAGCCTCATGGCTTTCCTCCTTGCCAGGTGGTGGCGTGGCGGGAAGGAGGCCCGCGCCGGCCGGCGAGCCAGTCAATAGCAGCAAGTGGAAGTCCACCTTCTCGCCGATCTCCGACATCGGCCTGGCCAAGGCTGCGGACAGCCCCCTGCAGGCCGGCCCCACCCTGAGCCAGAGCTCCCTGTTCGCGTTCCGGCCTGCCCTGGAGGAGACCCCCGCCGATGCCAAGCTGGCTGCCCACCCCAGGAAAGGCTTTCCCGGCTCCCTGTCAGGAGCTGACGGACTCAGCCCCAGCACCAACCCTGCGAACGGCTGCACCTTCGGCGGGGGCCTGGCCGCCGAGCTGAGTTCACACGGCTTCAGTGATGGTGCTTCTCTCCCCCACAAGGGCCCCGAGGCGGCCGGCCTGAGCTCCCCGCTGGGCTTCCCCTCGCAGCGCACCAAGGAGGTCTCGGACACCAACCCTTTCCTGAGCAAGAGGCAGCTAGACGGCCTGGCCGGGCTGAAGGGCGAGGGTGGCCGCGGCAAGGAGGTGGGGGAGGGAGGCCTGCCGCTGTGCGGCCCCGCGGACAAAAGTGCGCTGCCCGCCGGCAAGGCCGCCAAGGCCCGGGACCGAGAGCTCGACCTCAAGAACGGCCACAACCTCTTCATCTCCGCGGCCGCGGTGCCTCCCGGAGGCCTCCTCAGCGGCCCGGTCCTGGCCCCGGCGGCGTCCTCTGCAGGCGGCTCGGGGTCCTCCGCCCAGACGCACCGGCCCTTCCTGGGCCCCTTCCCGCCAGGGCCGCAGTTCGCGCTGGGCCCCATGGCCCTGCAGGCCAACCTGGGCTCCGTGGCCGGCTCCTCCGTGCTGCAGTCGCTCTTCAGCTCTGTGCCGGCCGCCGCTGGCCTGGTGCACGTGTCGTCCGCTGCCACCAGACTCACCAACTCGCACGCCATGGGCAGCTTTTCCGGGGTGGCAGGCAGCACAGTTGGAGGTAGGCAGGGCTGCGGCCCCTTCCTTTGCAGGTGTCCTTCCCTGCCCTCTGGGGCCAGGAGCCGAGCAGCTGGTCCCCAGCGTCTGGTCATGGTCCGGAACTCCAGTCCTGCGGGGAGAGGGCTCCCGCTGAGTCCGTGTGTCTCGGGTTCTCTGGTTATAACGGCCTCCCTCTTGTTTTCAGAAGGCCACGGTGCGCAGGGTCACCAGGGCATTCCTTTCTCCCGTGGAGGTCACCTGTTAGGTGTGGCCGCCCGGGCTCTGGCAAGGCTCTGGGAGCTGGCGTTGGGTAAGAGCGAGTCCCCGCAGTGCCTGCCCAGACCGGGCGGAGGAGCCTTGGGGCTGCTGCTTGTGCTGGGTGCCCGCACGCCCGGCGCCGCCGTCTCGCTGTCCTTTGGTGAGCCTGCGGCTGCTTCTCTGCACGTGACCGGATGCTGCCGCCTGTTGAAGCTGCCTTTTTCTCTCCTGTTTGCAGGTGTCTTTAACCACGCGGTGCCCTCCGCCTCTGCTCATCTGTTTGGAGCCCGTGTCGGCCGCGGGGCTGCGTGTGGCAGTGCCACGCTGGGCCCGAGCCCGCTGCAGGCGGCGGCCAGCGCCTCGGCCTCTTCCTTTCAGGCCCCGGCCTCGGTTGAGACCCGGCCGCCCCCTCCGCCTCCGCCTCCCCCGCGGCCCCCGCCTGCGCACCTGGGCCGGCCCCCCGCGGGGCCTCCCATCCTCCACGCTCTCCCACCTAACGCCGCCTTGCCTCCTCCCCCAACGCTGCTGGCCTCTAACCCTGAGCCCGTGCTTCTGCAGAGCCTCGCGTCCCTCCCGCCTAACCAAGCTTTCTTGCCCCCCGCCTCTGCTGCCTCTCTGCCGCCTGCTAACGCCTCTTTGTCTATCAAGCTCACCTCCCTCCCGCACAAGGGCGCCCGCCCCTCCTTCACGGTGCACCACCAGCCCCTGCCCCGGCTGGCCCTGGCACAGGCCGCGCCCGGGATCCCGCAGGCCAGCGCCACGGGGCCGTCCGCTGTGTGGGTGTCCCTTGGCATGCCGCCTCCTTATGCCGCGCACCTTTCAGGGGTTAAGCCGCGATAAAGACCTTGCTTAGCTAGCAGTGCATATTGTGTAAGGTAAGGCCAGAGCCCCGCGCGGTGGCTCCCTCCAGACACTGAACTGTCCTTCCTTTGGCAGAGAAGATGGCCACAGGGCTCGGCAGAAGGGCCGGGGGTCCTGAGGAGGGAAGCGAGAGGAGGGACTGCAGGACGGGCACCGGCCATGGCATGGCCTGAGCATGTTGGCTTCCAGCTGCCCACAGCTGGGTACCTGCGGTGATGCCGCAGGACGGAGGCCAGCCCTGGGGGCAGCTGTGCCAGCCCCTGTGGGTGAGGCTCACGGGGTGCCATGCCAAGGATGGGTGCAGCCCCTCGGGGCTGGGAGTAGCCTCCAGGGCTCCATCTGCACCAGGCCCAGGTCACTCGGGACAGGTGGCGTGGTGCGGTGTCAGCTGCAGAGGTCCTGGGAAGCCAGGTTGGCAGGACGGACGCCTCTGGTCAGGGCCATCTGGCTGATGGCCTCGGATACCTCTCATAGGGAGCCGGTGAGGCCCCTGGTATCCCGCCTGCCTGGGGGGCTCATGGGTTCCCAGTGGGGCTGAGAGGCGAGCTCTGTGCCCTGCGTGATCGGGCTGCCCCCGGGACACGGCCGATGGCGGCCGTACTGCTCTGTGGCTGTGGCCGAAAGCCGAGGGCTTCCAGCCACTCAGACGTCAGCACCGAGGTGCACAGGCTGACGTAGATAGCGCCCGCCTTTGCACCAGGGGAAGTGGGAGGCTGGAGTGAGTTTGTGGCCGTGAGGCCTTCAGGGAACGTCCCATCCACTCGTCCTCCGAGAGGTGGTGGAAACTGGCTGCTGACCCCCGAGGGTAGTTGGCCACCTGTGCCCTCCGGGGACATGGCGTGCCGGGCAGTGAAGTGCAAAGGTGCCCTCTGCTTCCCCCTGACCTTCTGCCTCAGGGGGCCCTGGGACACAGGCCTTCATGGGCAAGCCCACATCTCGCTGGGCAAGGAGAGGTGGACTGGTAGCCGAGGCAGAGGCAGGGCCGGGGCTGGCCGGCCTGGCCTGCCCTGCAGTGTGCTGAAGTAGAAGGAGGAGCGGGCCTGGCGGGTCAGGGCGGGCACCTGTGGGCGGGACGGGCTCCTACAGGTCCCACAGGAGATGTGCTGCAGGTAGGGTGGCCTTAGTGGGACTTGGCTGTGCGTCTCTGGAGGAAGGCCGGAGCTTGGCTGGCGTGGCCAGGTGTCAGGCTCCCCGGGCCTGCTGTGGCTGGAGGGGCCAGCGCCCTGCCTGTCACGGTGCTGGCCCCAGGTGGCGAGTGTGCTCGTGGGAGGCCTCGGTCCCCGGCCCGGGTGAGTGTCAGGCTCCCCAGGCTTGAGGGTGACAGACTGCCCTTCCCACTGTGCCCTCCTGCAGGTAACTAGGATTTCTACCTCAACCGCGAGACCTATGCAAGGACGGTGTGGACCAACTGCGCCCGCGGCACCTGCCCGCCGGCCTCCCACCCTGACGGCAGAGGCGAGGACGACGGGGCTCCACTGTGAATCGGCGGCGCGCGCCACAGGAGGCTGGGACTGGTCCAGTTTGTACTGTCGATAGTTTTAGATAAAGTATTTATCGTTTTTTAAAAAGTATAAACAATTCTGACTTATTTTATTCCATCTAAGTGGTAAAGGCAACTTATTGAGAAATATAAATATCTATATATGAGAGATCTATATAAAGACACGTGTCTGCAGGGCGGGCCCGCCAGCGGATTCGCCGACAGCCTGCCCCGGTGCTATCTCGTCCCCAGGCCTGCGCCTGCCTCCGCCCGCTTGGTGCTGACTAGACGCTGACGACGCCGAACCCCGTCCTCGGAAACGCCGCCCGGCCGGCCCCCCCCGACGACGCACTGCTCCCGTACCAAAGGCAGGCCCGCCGCTGCCACATTCCTCGGAGGCCCCCCGTGGCCTGAGCCCCTTCCCGAGCCCCTGGCGCCTGCGCTGAGCGCTCCACCCCCGCCCCGTCACTGTGAGCCCCGGACTGTTCACCCCCGCGGGGCCTGGGTGGCGCCCTCGCGTGGGGGGGCCCCGCGCCGTGCGCTGCGATGGTGCTGTGAGGACGGCAGGCGCCGGACAAGTGCATTTACTTTTGTATTTCTCGGCTTCCGTGGCTCGCAGCGCGCCCTGTGACGCGGGCAGGCCTGTCGAGGGTCCCCTGGTGTTTCTGTACAGGAGAGAGTCACACTAATGAGTGGCAGTATTTTATAGAGATGTGATAAGAATTTATAAATTTCATAGATTTAACAGCTTTTATTTTTAGATGGTATAATGCACAGTGAAGAGGAAAGAAAGGTGCGGGGAAATCCTTATTTATTCAGAGTGTACAAAATGGCCACAGGGTCAGCCCCCACCCTACACCCCTCAGTTGCAGTCCCCAGTGGTCCAGACAGCTGCCTGAGCCTCTTCCTGGCCCACGTCCCTTCTGTCAGGGTCCCGCCTGGCACCCGGCCCTCTAAGTGGGTGTGCTGGGGCCGAGGTGCGCTGCTGAAGCCTGGCCTCTCTGGCCCTAGGCCCTGGGATGGCATCTGCCCCCCATTCTGCAGCCTTGGGGGTGCCTGGGACTGGGCGTGCAAGGAGAGGGCGAGGCCGGGCTATGGCCGGCAGTCAGAGCCACTCAAAGCAGTTGGTGCCTGGCTTGTCCAGGCAGTGCTGTCTCTGCGCGCTCCCTGGAGGATGGGGTCTGGGAGTCCTAGCTCCTTGCACATGGGGCCCAGGCTGTCACACCCGTTGAGCCCACCTTCTCAAGTTGCTGCTGTGAGGTGGCATCGGGCAGCCCTTCCCCAGGTGTCACAGAACCACCCTCCAGGGAGCTGCCAGCCCTGCGTTCTGGTCCCTACCACGTGGCCTCCGGAGAGGGAGCCGCGGAGGAAAGGCTCCTGTGGTTGCTGGGTGGGGGTAGTCCTGTGTGGGAGGACCTGGAAGACCCCTGCTTGTGCCTGGTGGGGGGGTGCTGCCTCCCTCTGGCCCCCAACAACCTGTCCCTCAGACCCCTGGCCCCCCCAACCTAGCTGAGTTTTGAAGATGGTGCTCCAAACCTGTCCTTCCCACCCCCACGTTGGTGCTCTCAGCTTGAAGGTGCTGTGCCTCTGCCCGAGCCCGGCCTTCAGGATAGGCAGCCTGCTCCGTGCCGCCACCGGCCGGAAATGCTCCAGGGTTGACGGCAGAGAAAGCATGGAGTCCCCTGGCCTAGAACAAGACACACTCTTGAAACACTGTATCACTTCTGCCTCCCCCCAGGGGACAGTGGCTGCCGGGGTGCCACTGCGGCCCCTGCCCACGCAGACCACCACGTGTTTAGGACACGCACTGGGTCTCGGAGCCACTGGCCCAGGCAGAAGTCTCCTTGAGCCCCCTGGGGCACGTGTGAACTAGCAATGCTGCTGCCCGCAGACGCCCTCCCACTCTGAGCCCTAGGCCATGTCCTCCTCAGACACTCCCAGACGGGGGTTGGTGGCGGTTGACAGTGGAGGCTGGTGCTGGTGCGCAGCCTGAGCTTCCATGGGCAGCTGGCAGGACCTGCGCTGCTGCTGACCGCGGGCAGGTGGCGCCTGGGAGTGGCTCTTGCTCAGGAATTGATAGGAACCCTGATGACTAGGACGCCCCCTCCTTGGCCCGTGAGGCACACTCGGTGACTTATTTAAGACTTGCCCCTTAATTTATCCGCCCCAGGACGCGTCAGTCTGTTAAGTGGTCAGCAGGGCCCCCTCCCCCGTCATCAGTGGTCAGCCCCCCACGCGCTGCTGCTCTATGTCGGCCCTTGTCTGTTGCCCTCAGGAGGCTCTGCTGTCTTCCTGGTGAACTGTGTTTGGATTGCGCACATTGTCACGGTCCGCCCCTGGGCTGCGGGCGCCCCTTCCTCTGGGCACCCCTGCGTTCTGCTTCCCCACCTCTAGACGCTGTAATAAACAGACCATTTTCACTTGGACCTGTGTGAACGGCAGCGTTTCTTTCGGGTGGCCTCAGGTGTCTCCTGATGGCAAGGGAGTCATCGCTGAAGCAGCGGGGTGCAGGGTCTGGGGTCGCTCCTAGCAGAAGCTCTGAGGGCCGACACCAGGAGGCCCGAGCCTGACTGCATCAGGCTGTGGGCAGACTGCCTTCAGATGAACGCAAAACCAGATCTGCAGCCCCGACAACACCGGCAAAGTCGTTTGCCACATCGGAGGGACAAAGCCAGCCCAGGCCCCATCCACACTCCGGGGGGGCGTGGGCAACGAATGCCAGGTGGGGACCCCAGGTCACCGCAGGACTCCCAATACCACACAGCAGCCCCATCCTCCCAGGCTTGGGTCTCGGCCTCCACCTGTCCGGGCTCGGGTTCCAGGCCTCCCCTCAGTGCAGGAGACCCAGCCCCAACCTCTCAAGACCCCAAGCCTTGCTTCTCTGGGGTGTGGACTCCCCAGCCGCCCCTCCCTCTCCTTCACTGCACTGCCATCCACTGTGAAAAAGAGGTACCTTTATTTGAACAGGACAGGCACTTCCCCAGGCCCACAGCCGGGGCTCCTGTCTGCAGAATTCACAGCTGGTGGGGGGACTCAGCCCCCACGCCATTCACAGCTTCTTCTGGCCCTGTACATTCATTCTGTGCAGGGCGGAAGGGCCACACAGCCCGGGTGCCCACCAGACCCTGGATGCACAAAACTCAGGCGGGGCATCGTGGGAGGGCGCACATCCCGGCAGCAGCACATAGTGCCAGGTGCCAGGCCAGTCGGGTGGGTCCTGGGGCCCTGAGGAGGGCGGCTTGCTGGGCAGTTTCACAAAACGCAGCGCCTGCCCACACCCACCGGCTTCAGGCTTTGGATGTCTCCAAACCAAAAACCTCCCGCTGAAAATCCAGGTGTGAGGGCTGGGTGTGGGGGCTCGTGCCTGTGGTCCCAGCCTACTTGGGAAGCTGAGGCAAGAGGATCATTTGAGCCCAGGTCAAGGTCACGGTGAGCTATGGCACCACTGAAGCTAGCCTGGGCAACAGTGAGGCCCTGACTCAAAAAAAAAAAAAAAAAAATCCAGGCATGGCCAAGCAACTCAGGGCTGGGCAAAGGCCAGTCCCACCCAGCTGCACGCCAACCACCATGCCCTGCACTCATGCCTGCAAGCCACTCAGCTGGAACCTGGCCTCCTCGGATATGCCGAACTGCTCCAGGGGGTCCTGTGGGGTGGACGGATGGCCATGAGCCAGGGCCGGAGGACTCTGCCACCCACAGCCCCACCCTGGCCACCCGAAGCCCTGTACACACCTTGCCTGTCACCTTCCGGATTTCGTTCCTGTAGAAGATGAGGCTTCTCCGCATGAACTCGTAGCTAGAGAAGAGGGCGGCACAGGGGTCAGAGGCCTGCTGTGCATGGCTGCTGTGCCCACCCCAGCTGTGCCCACGGCCGCCTGGCCCCACCTGGCCCGACGGAGAGCCTCCATCCACTCCTGACACTGCTCCTCGCTGCTGCACTCAAAGTGATACTTTCTCTCGGGGTCCTCGATGAAGCCTGGGGAGGGAGCACCTACGTCGGTCCTGCCCACAACCACAGGGGCAGCTTCCTCTTGCCAGTGCCCAAAACCACCCCCCCTGTGGCCCCCACAAAGATGTGTTCATGTCCTGACCCCCAGAACCTAGAGGAGCGTGGCTCCATTTGGAAATAGGGCCTCTGCAAATGAAATAGTTAAAATGAGGTTGTCGCTGGGTGCAGTGGCTCACGCCTGTCATCCCAGCGCTTTGAGAGGCCGAGGTGGGAGGACTGCTTGAGCTGAGGAGATTGTCTCTGCAAAAACAAAAATCAGCCGGTGTGGTGGTGGGGTCTCGTAGTCCCAGACATTCAGGAGGCAGAGGTGGGAGGATTGCTTGAGGCAAGGGGGTTGAGACTACAGTGACTTGTGATTATGCCAGTGCACTCCAGCCTGGGTAACGAGATCCTGTTTCAAAAATAAAATCAAGAGGGCTGGGTGCTGTGGCTTACAGCTGTAATCCCAGCATTTCAGAGGCCAAGGCAGGCGGATCACCTGAGGTCGTGAATTCGAGACCAGCCTGGCCAACGTGATGACACCCTGTCTCTACTAAAAATACAAAAATTAGCTGGGCATGGTGGCAGGCACGTGTAATCCCAGCTACTTGGGAGGCTGACGCAGGAGAATCGCTTGAACCCGGGAGGCAGAAATTTCAGTGAGCTGAGATGGCGCCACTGTACTCCAGCCTGGGTGACGGAATGAGACCCCGTCACAAAAAATAAAACGGGGTTGTCAGGGTGGGCCCTCAATTCTGTTTGGTGTCTGTGTAGAAGGAAACGTGGACCCAGACGCGATGCAGGGAGGACAAGGTGAGGATGGAGACAGGGATGTGATGCTTCCACAAACCAAGGAAGCTGGAAGATGATGGCCATCACCAGGAACTGGGATCGTGTCTCATACTGAAGCCACTCTGGCAAACTCCATCTTTCCCCGAAGATGGGAATCTTAAAACCCAGGAGAGGCCGGGCGCGGTGGCTCACGCCTATAATCCAAGCACTTTGGAGGCCAAGGAGAGCGGATCACCTGAGGTCGGGAGTTCAAGACCAGCCTGACCAACATGGTGAAACCCCCGTCTTTTTTAAAAACCAAAAAAAAAAAAAAACCCAGGAGAGCCACACCCCTCTCACTCCCCCACCCCCACCTGGGGTTTCCAGCCCAGGGCCATACAACAATGTAGACCCACGCTAATCTCGACAGCTAGGGAAACGCTTTGCATGCTGGCCCGTCCGCCCCGTGAGTGCAGCCTGGGCCCACAGGAAGAAAGAGCCGACTCTGGGAGGGACCCAAGCTTAAGTGGACTTGGCAGGTAGGCACGGCGGTGCCCGCCAGGAGGACCTGACCTTGAGCTGGCTGTGGACAACGCACTCTTGTGTCTGGGGAGGGTGGCGCCAGGCTGGGGACACAGAGGCGGCCTCGGGCGCCTGGGGAGGGGACAGTGCGGCGCTGCGGGTGCCCCGGGCTGCTGGGGGCGCCGCCGGCCTCCCCAGCCGCACTCACTGATGGAGAAGGTGCCGGGCTCTTCCCGGGTGACTCTGCAGCGCTCCAGCAGCAGGGCTCCGACGGGCTGGAGGAGACACGGGCGCCGGGACGCGGCGGTGAGCGCCCAGCCTCCGCGGGGCGCAGCCTGGCACCCGCCCGCGCGCCCGGGGCGCCCCTACCTCGGCCTCGTCTGTCCGGAAGTAGAAGAGGAAATTCACCACGAGCTTCACCAGCCGCCGCTTCAGCACTGCGAGCACAGCGCACGCTCAGGGGCGCAGGCAGTCCCCGCCCGGATCCCCGCCCTCCACCCCAGCGCCCTCCACCCCCCCCGCCCTCACCCGGACCTCGGCCCCCGCCTCCAGTCCCTAGCACTGTCCCAGTCTCCCGGGTCCCGCTCACCGCTGCCCTTCTTGGGGCCCCTCATGCCCAGCTCGGCCGCCATCTCGGCCGGCTGCCGGGACAGCGCCTGCAGCTCCTTCTCGTTGTACCGCATTGTTCCGCGGGGAACGCGAACCCGCGCCACGCCCTCCCGGCCGCCGTCCCCGCTCGCGCCGGGGCCGGCGCCAAAAAGGTCCCAGGGCGCAGACACGGAAGCCCCGCTGGGGCTAGTGCGCCTGCGCGCCTTGGGCCGGCCATGCCGCCCGTCCCCGCAGGGTGGCACTGGCGACCCAGGGAGGTGGGTGCACCGGTTGGTTGGGGAGACGGACCGTCGTTACTAAGTTAACTGAAATACATCGGACCAAGGTGGAACAAAATCAAGGCACCCCCGTGATGGCTGGCGCCCCTTGTTAGAACGGCCAGGCGCAGGCGGAGGGAGCGATAACATCTCCCGGAGGGTATCAGCCGCCCTCTCGCGAAAGTTGGGCCCACGCGGCCGCAGCGGACCCAGGGTTCGTTGGCAGCGTTGTGCGCACGCGCGCTTTGTTTTCCAGGCCGCACTTTCAGACGCGCCACCTCCAGCCCTTTCCCTCGCGCCTCCGAACCTCCCGGCTCGCGCCGCTGGGCGGGCCGCGCATGCGCACACGAGAGGCCCCGTCCCATTTGCCCCGGAAGTGCTTTCTTTGCCCGCGACGCGCGTGCGCCGAACGAAATCGTGGCGGTGGCGGATCAAGGTGGAGATAGCGCGGCCTTGGGCTCTGGTGAGGGCGTCGGTCGACGGGGACTGGGGGGTTCCCTGGAGGGGAGCGAACGTGGGAGAGGCGCTTGCTACGGGCCGCGGGCTGAGGGGCGGGCAGCGGGTTCGCGCCCCTTCCTCCTCCCTTGATCGTCGGGCCTCGTGCATCTAGAGGCCCCGCGCTGGGCGGGCCCTCTCGGAACTCGTATTTCCAAACACCTGTTGGGGGTCCGTGCTCCGGACCTCACACCTGTAATCCCAGCGCTCAGGGAGGCCTCGGCCGGAGGATCGCTCGAGGCCAGGAGTTCGAGACCAGCCTGGACAACACAGGGAGCCCTCATCTCTACAAAAAATTTTTTAAAATTAGCCAGGAGTGGTGGTTGCGCTTGTAGTCTCAGCTACTCTAGAGGATCGCTTGAGCCCAGGATCCGCACCACTGCACTTCAGCCTGGGCAACATAGCGAGACCCCATCACCGCAAATATTTTTTAAAAATTAGCCGGGCGTGGTGGGGGGCGCCTGTAGTCCCAGCCACCCTGGAGGCTGAAGCGGGAAGATCGCTTGAGCCCAGGAGATCGAGGCTGCAGTGAGCTGTGATTGCGCCACTGCACTCCAGCCTGGGCGACGGAGCAAGATCCTGTTTCATAAAATAAAAAATAAACAGGCCGGGCGCGGTGGCTCAAGCCTGTAATCCCAGCACTTTGGGAGGCAGAGGCGGGTGGATCACGAGGTCAAGAGATCGAGACCATCCTGGTCAACATTGTGAAACCCCGTCTCTACTAAAAATACAAAAAATTAGCTGGGCATGGTGGCGTGTGCCTGTAATCCCAGCTACTCAGGAGGCTGAGGCAGGAGAATTGCCTGAACCCAGGAGGCGGAGGTTGCGGTGAGCCGAGATCGCGCCATTGCACTCCAGCCTGGGTAACAAGAGCGAAACTCCGTCTCAAAAAAAAAATAAAAATAAAAATAAACAACCAAGACTCGTTTGGGTCGGATCAGGATCGCGGCTGAAATGGTTTGGGTCGCCTTCGTTGTAGCCCAGAACGCTTCTGCATGCTAATCTATACCTGTTACTTGACTGGGGCTCTGTGATGTAACTCCTGTCAACTCCAATTCCTTTAAAATGGGAGTGACAGCTTCAGCACCATGCCGAAGGCGACCAGAAAACCCTAGCTGGCCCCATTTTGCAGGTCACCCCAGCCAGTTAGATGCCTGTGACCGTTACTCCTGTGTGTCCTTGGACAGCACCAAACAGCCACGGGAGCTCTGGAAAACAGGTTGTTTGCTAGGCTTAAGGACAGAATGGTGTTGCCACCAAAAACTAGTATCTGCTCAGTGGTCCAGTCCCAGGCCCCAGGCCTTCCCTCAATTCTTAAGTGCGTTTCCCCGGTCTTTTTTTTTTTTTTTTTTTTTTTGAGACAGGGTCTTGCTCTGTCACCCAGGCTGGAGTGCAGTGGTGCAGTCACAGCTCACTGAAGCCTCAAACTCCAGTTCTCAGGTCATCCTCCCGCCTCAGCCTCCTGAGTAGCTGGGACTACAGATACTCACCACCATGCCCGCCTAATTTTTGTATATTTTGTAGAGATGGGGTTTTGCGTTGTTGCCCAGGCTGGTCTGGTACTCCTGATCTCGCGTGATCCGCCTGCCTCGGCCTCCTAAAGTGCTGAGATTACAGGTGTGAGCCACCACGCCCGGCTCAGCTAATTTTTGTATTGTATTGTAGAGATGGGGGGTTTTGCCGTGTTGGTCCGGCTGTCCCCTGGTCTTTACCTTCGTAAATAACACGCTTCTTGCCGGGCGCGGTGGCTCAAGCCTGTAATCCCAGCACTTTGGGAGGCCGAGGCGGGTGGATCACGAGGTCAAGAGATCGAGACCATCCTGGTCAACATGGTGAAACCCCGTCTCTACTAAAAATACAAAAACATTAGCTGGGTATGGTGGCGCGTGCCTGTAATCCCAGCTACTCAGGAGGCTGGGGCAGGAGAATTGCCTGAACCTGGGAGGCGGAGGTTGCGGTGAGCCGAGATCGTGCCATTGCACTCCAGACTGGGTAATAAGAGCGAAACTCCGTCTCAAAAAAAAAAAAAAATAATAACACGCTTCTTCCTGGATTGATCTGCTGGTTTCATGTCAGGGTGGTTGAGACTACCTCCCTCCCATCCACCCCCTGCACCTTCACCTTCCACATCCTCAATGAGCTTATGTTGTCAGCGGGAGTAGGTCTTTGGTTGCGTTTCCTAAATAGGATGCAAAACATTGTTGGTTGCTAAAGCAAGTAATGTGTTCAGTTGGGCTTTTCTTTTATCACTCTTTCTTCCCTTAAAGCTAATTAAGTTGTTTTTCACCATTAGCCTGGTTTTCTTTTCTTTTTCTTTTTGAGACAGAGCCTTGCCCCGTTGCCAGGCTGCAGTGCAGGGGCGCGATCTCGGCTCTCTGCAGCCTCTGCCTCCTGGGTTCAGGCAGTTCTCCCGCCGCAGCCTCTCGTAGCCTGGTTTTCTTTTACCTGTTTGCTTTGTTCCTCACAGGGCTCCAACGTCTCACACACCTGTCAGTTGTATTTCGCACAGGTTTAAATAAATCCATCTCTCCCTCACCACTTCCCCCCAAGACCCGCGTATCCCCTCCTCCAGGTGGGACTGGTTGTGCTCTGCCCTAGAGGTGGGGCTGTTATCCCAGAGCGTCCGGTCCTTGCTGCCCGGGGCCTGCCTCGATGTTTCCAGTGTGGCCATCCCTTCCTCTCCATGCTGTCAGAGGAGAGCTTCTGGTAGCTTTTGAAGAAGTAGATGATTGTTTTGTTGGGGGGGTGGTCCTTGATTGTCTGAAAATGAGTTTATTTACCCACATAGTTAGGAATTTGGTGGGGTATAAAAATCCAGATTGAAAATCTGTATTTGTAGGCCGGGCACAGTGGCTCACGCCTGTAACTCCAGCACTTTGGGAGGCTGAGGTGGGCGGATCACCTGACTTTGGAGTTCAAGACCAGACTGGCCAGCTTCGAGAAATCCCATTGCTATAAAAATGCAAACATTAGCCAGGTGTGGTGTTGCAGGCCTGTAATCCCAGCTACTCGGGAGGGTGAGGCCGGAGAATCACTGGAACCCTGGAGGCGGAGGCTGCAGTGGGCCCAGATGGCGCCGCTGCTCTCCAGCCTGGGCGAGACTGAGAATTCATCTGAAAAAAAAAAAAAAAGAGAGAGAGAGAGAGACAGAAAGAGAAGGAAGGAAGGAGAAAGTCTGTGTGTTCAGAACCGTGAAAGCTCTGTTTTCAGTGCTGTTCTCAAAAGATGGCCGGTTCGCTGGCCGCTGATGCTCTGTGGTGGTTTCTGTCTGCCAGAAGCCTCGCATTCTTCTTGGTGTGAGATTTCCTGGTTTCCCTGTTGACCAGGGGTCTTTCTGTTTGTTCGCCTTGGTGGGTCCTTGCTGTCTGAACAGTTTGGTTCTTTTAGTCTCGGGCTTTGTTTTTGTTTGTGGTTTTCTTGTTAATGTTCTTATATTATTGTTTCTTTGATAATATTTTTCATGTTTTATTTTGTTGGGTAGTTTTTTTGTTCTCCTTCCAGTGTCGCCTGGGTTCTTGCCTTTCCTCCTGTTTTTCCAAGTTGTGGCTTTCCTTATGAAAGCTGTGTCTGGCTCAGCTTCAGACTCCGCGACGGGATTTTTTGTTTGGATCATCCCGTCTGCATTTTACGTGGAGTTTTGTTTAGCTTGTCCGGTCTGTGTTTTTCTTTATTCTTTTTCTCTTTTTTGTTTTCTTTTAGAGCTCCAGGAACATTGATAGATTGTCCTGTCTGTATTTTTCAAGGGCTGCTTTTTGTTTGAATTCAGGTTGTTATCATTCAGGGCCCTGTTCTGGTTTTCCGGTGCGTCAACTTCCCCGAGGACCGAGCAGGGTGGCAGCGATCTCACGTTGGGGTTCCCATCAAGTCTCTTTGTTCTCGGAGGCGTGTGTTTCTCTTTAAGAACAAAGCGGCCGGCAGCCCTGTGTGAGCTCCGCTCCTCATCCAGGGAGGCCTCCTGCCCAGTGGCCCCGCGAGGAGTGGGGCTTTTCTTTGAGGTGTGGGGGCCCTGAATGCCAGTATTTGAGAATTCTTCTGGTGCTGTTTACCCAGAAAAGACTCCTGGCCTCCCGCTGGGCGGAACCGCAGGGATTCCCGCTGCCCAGTCGGCAGGCCGTGACTCAGCCCCCCCTTCAGCTTGCCCTGGGCCCCTTGCTCTGCTGGGCCTGCCTCTCTAACTGCCGAGGCCCTTGTATGCCAGTTCTGGGAGGAACGTTCTGATCGACTGCAGGGTGGTGGGGGATCGGAGTGTGTGGCCTTCCCCAGGGCGCTGCCCCATCTCAGCTGCCGAGGCGGACAGTGCGGGTGTTGAGTGGCCGTGCCGGCCAGGCTTGGGTTCGGACGGTTTCTGGTTTTTGGATCAGAGTTTATTACGTGGTGAGTGGCTGAGTACTGATCTGGGTTTCCGAGGGCCAGTCAGACTCCACAGGTGCTCCCTGTGACAGCTGGAGCTTGTGTCCTGAGCCAGCCACTGGCCGCTTGAGTGTTCCGTCTGGCTGCTTTAAGAAGTACCTGGGCGGACAGGTGCGGTGGCTCACACCTGTCATCCCAGCACTTTGGGAGGCCGAGGTGGGCGCATCATGAGGTCAGGAGATAGAGACCATCTCGCTGTAACACAGTGAAAACCCTGTCTCTACTAAACATAGAAAAAGTTAGCCGGGCATGGTGACACACACCTGTAGTCCCAGCTACTCGGGAGGCTGAGGCAGGAGAATCTCTTGAATCTGGGAAGAAGTGAGAAGTGGCACCTGGGCTCACCCTAGATCAATTTGAACTCTTGGCTTCGTTCCCGTTTAGCATCTGAGTTCCTTTTCCAGGTCTGTCCAGCCATTGAGTCATTAGAACATTCTGGAAATGTCACTAAAATGTGAGGGGTTAATAAGTGTATGAGGATACATCAGTGGCTCTTGGTTTGGCCACCTGCAGCTGTCCTGGCCCAGAAGCTGGGCCGCCTCTTCCTGCTTGGAGGAGCAAAGTGCAGGTCACTCCTGCGACCGAGCCCCATTCCTCCTGGGCCCTGGGGCCTCCAAAGACACGTCCTGCTCTCTGCTCTTCTCTCTGCCAGCAGCCTCTGGCACTGGCCATGAGGATGCCATGGCACCGTGGGGGAGAGCACAAGCTTGGCGGTAGAGACCAGTGATGGCTCAACCTCAGAATGGTGGCGTGGTCCCGGAGAGGCCACGGCCAGGGACAGCGGGGTGTTGTCATGCTGCTGAATTCCTTCCTCATGAAAGAAATAGGCCATCCTCCTGGGAGAGTGGAGCGCTTGATGACTCACAGAGACCTGGGGGTGTGCCTCCCAGCACCAGGCCCCTCCTGGGTTCTTGGGGTACATCTGTGAAAGAAGGCTGATTCCCTGCCTTCCCGCACTGTCCCCGGCGGGGGCTTCTCGGTGCTGAGATGCATGGAAGACTGGTTTCTGTGTGTGGAGACGCAGGTGCCGCCTTGGCCTGGTGGGAGGCTGCTCGCTGGGCTCCGCGCGCTCATCCCTGATGTGAGTTTCATGCCCCTTGACCAGGAAATACTTGAATGTCCTCCAGAGAGAAATTAGGCACGTCACGAATATGTCCAGGCGGTACCCACTAATCCCGCCTGGCCTGTGGGCCAGTCAGAGACGGTGCCTCCCAGGCAGCCATGAGCTGGCACCGCAGCAGGGATTGCGGCGTCGGAGTGGCCTGCGGCTGACGGCCCCAGCGCCAGCGCTGATGGGGTGCAGTTCCCCCGGTCCTGAAGAACACGTGGCCAAGAAGCCCGAGGCAGGGAGCGTCCCGCGGGCCAGAGGGTGGCGTTCCCGGCAGAGGACAGTCCTTCCGGTGCCACCGTCTCCTTTTTCACGTTGGAATGTTCTTTGTTTGTGAAGGGATAGCGATGGTCACGATGGTGGTTTCTTGTTTACGTGACAATATGTAAAGATGGGCATCTCTAGGTGGGCTTTTGTGGCGTCTGAACTTCTCCCTGTGATACTGCAGTGAGCTCGGCAGCCCGTCCCACCAGCTACCACACCTGATCATTGTCATAAACTTGTCCGGGGAATAAAAACTGGGTGGGGAGGGTCCTGGGCCCCCATAGGTGAGGAGTGACCTCAGGCCCCACCACGGGTCAGCAGCACCACTGGCCTGTACCTCCGCGTGCACCCACACCCCTGCGGCCGCCGTGGCAGATCACCGCAGGCACAGCAGTCCAGGTGACACGGCTGCATCCGCTTCTGGATCTGGGGCCAGAAGTCCAAACAGTCCACGAGGCTCCATCCCTTCTTCGAGCAGAACTCTTCCCGCCTTTCCACGCGTCCTCCCTGTTCACAGCCACAGCCCAGCCTCTCTGCCCCTCAGCCTCCCCCTCCTCTCACGAGGATGCTGTGAGGGTCACCTGCTGTTTTGAGATCCTCAAGCCCACCTGTGTGCCTCCCTTTCCTGCTGTGCGAGGCGATGGGTTCACAGGTCCCAGGGATTCGCATGTGGACGTCTTTGGGGGGCAATGAATGATTCACTCGGTCTGCTGGGTCGCATCTCTCTGAGCTCACCCAAGGCCTTTAAACCAGGGCTGGGAGCAGAGGTTGAGCAGGCAGGGGAAAAGCGTCAGGAGAGGAGAGGAAGCTGCCTGGAGCTTGGGTCTGCGCGGAGCCTGAGAGGGTGTGGAACAGTGGCAGAGGGCTGCGTCGGGAAGCGGGTGTTTGGGACTCAGGAGAGCCGTCCTGCGCCACAGGCAGATGTGGCTGATCTCCTGGGTGTTACCCAGTGAGGACCGGAAGATCCACGTCTCCTTTGCCGCCCAGAAAATTCACAGCCGATTCCGAGAGATAGAAGTCAGGTTGGGACAAGTAAGCGTAGCCAACTCGAGAGGGAGTTGAGAAGAAGGCGTGAACACTGGGGCCTGGGCAGTCCCGATGGCTTCCTGGAGGTGGTGACTCGGTGGTGAGAATTTGGCCTCGTCTCCCCTGGTTGTGCCTTCTCTGGCTCCCCATCGCCATTTCAGGTCTCCAGGCCTTGGCACTCTGGGCTGGAGCAGCTTCCCCTCCACCCTCCCGCACAGTCAGTTGGAGGCAGGTTCCAGCTTCCTCATGTCTGTGCCTGGCCCACAGTGGGCCCCGGCCCCCTGGCAGAGACTCAGTGCACTAGCGGGTAGCCCCCTGAGGGCTGGTGAGACCCTGGCACTGGGAGTGCAGGGGGAGGAGCAGTCTTGCTGGCCCCGACCTGACCGCCCGGCCCCGGGAGGTGGCAGCAGCAGCCCTGGGTTCACCGCCCACCTCACTCTCCTCTTGGCCTCCACAGGCTGGGTGCCCTAGGAGGTCCCAGCAGCAGCCCCACCTTCTGAGCCATCTTCACACTCCTCCACAGGTGTCTCCCAGTCTGCTGAAGCCCGGAGGCCGACACCATGGACTTCCAGCATCGCCCTGGGGGCAAGACCGGGAGCGGGGGCGTGGCCTCCTCCTCCGAGAGCAACCGTGACCGCAGGGAGCGCCTCCGGCAGCTGGCCCTGGAGACCATCGACATCAACAAGGTGGGGGCCGCCTGGGCTGCACGATGCATTCCCGGGGGCTGGACGCTCCTGCTGCCGCCGAGCAGCCGCAGCTCCTGTCCAGCCACCCCAGACAGCAGACCCTCTGTGGCTCTGAGCCCTGGGTGGAAATGGTTTGCTCTGTGCCACGCCGCCTGCTGGGCATCATTCAGTTTTTGGAAATGGAGAGAGCTGATGTCAGTCCAGTCAGATGCAGTGAAGGATTTGATTTTACCTTGTGCAGAGGCGGGGTGAGCCGGGTCCCCCTCAGCACCGTGGACGTCGGGGCTGCAGCATTCTCTGGGCTGGGGGCGTCCCGGGCACTGCAGGGTGCCAAGCAGCATCCCCGGCCCCCACCCACTCCGTGCCAGGAGCTCCCCCATCAGGACAAACACAGGTGTCCCCAGACATTGCCTGGGTTCCTGTGAGGGTGGGTCCCCAGCCGAGACCCTGCCAGTGTGCGTTTCCTTAGACTTTGAACTCCACCAGGATCCCCCAGAGCCGTGTCCCTGACATGCCCCACAGGCCTGGCCTGGAACATAGGCTCTGTGACTGTCCTTGTCTTCCAGATGAGATCACGGTGGAGGGGTGCCACGCCGCAGGGGGTGGAGTTAGCGTTTGAACTCCAGGGTCTGAGACGAGAAGTGTCTGCCCGCCTGCCCCAGCTCGGGGCCTACGGATGCGCGTGGCCTTCCATGTGACCCGTTTGCTCTTCTCATGCCTGTGTCTGCCTTGTGCTGACCCCTGGCCTGGTGGCGGACAGCTCCCTGCGTCAGGAGTGACGGGCGCTGCTGTCCTGGCTCTGCCTCCGTGTCTCAGAACCGCCAGGAAGGTGGTGTCGGGGCTCCCTGGGAACCCCCCCTGCTCAAAGCCTAGGCCACAGCCCCAGGTGGCCACACACGCGTGCTCACGAGGCCCCTCGCCGACACATCAGGGACAGCCAGGCCTCCACAGAAAGGGGGTCCCACCTCTGAGGGCCCGGACCGCAGGGCAGGCCATGATCGTCTCTCTAACGGGGTACATGTTCTTCCCCTCCAGGACCCATATTTCATGAAAAACCACCTGGGCTCCTACGAATGCAAGCTCTGCCTGACACTTCACAACAACGAGGTGCGGCCTCCACCGGCCCTGGTCGGCTTGGGGCTTGGGGGCCGGGGCGGGCTGAGCGGCTGACAGCTGGGGGACTGCCCGTGTCTGTCCCTTCGGCCTCAAGTCACCCGCGTTTCCCTTCCACTCCAGGGGAGCTATCTGGCACATACCCAGGGGAAGAAGCACCAGACCAACCTGTGAGTCCCTCACCCCCGTCTCATGTCTGCTGCTCCAGCAGCGCTGGTCTCTGCGAGCCTCCGGGGCCACAGCTCCGCAGCGGGGAAACCAGCCTGGCCTGGGCCTCCCTGGGCGCTGGAGTAAGGTCTCTGGGGAGCATTAGAGAACATAGGCTGTATTGCTGAGGCGGGTGGATCACCTGAGGTCAGGAGTTCGAGACCGGCCTGACCAACATGGTGAAGTTCCACCTCTACTAAAAATACAAAATTTAGCTTGGCATGGCAGTGCACAGCCGTGATTCCAGCTACTCTGGAGGCTGAGGCAGGAGGATCTTGAACCTGGGAGGCGGAGGTTGTGGTGAACCAAGATGGCGCCATTATACTCCAGCCTGGGCAACAAGAGTGAACCTCTGTCTCAAAAAAAAAAAAAAAAGAAGAGCAGAGGCGTGGAGTTGTGGGAAGGGCTCCAGGCAGGGACAGTGAGCAGCGTGACAGGAAGAGAACATCCCTGTCCCGCCCATGTCCTGGTCCAAACCCCAGGGCCCTTCCCCGGCCCCCGGCCCTCCTCATCCCTTGGTTTGTAGTGAGCTCTGAGGTCAGGGGCTACTGGTGCCTGGGCCTGTGTCCCTGGGACCTGTGCGTGGAGGGCCCCAGCACCACGTCCACTCTGCCCGCAGGGCCCGGCGAGCAGCCAAGGAGGCCAAGGAGGCCCCTGCCCAGCCCGCGCCTGAGAAGGTCAAGGTGGAGGTGAAGAAGTTTGTGAAGATCGGCCGCCCGGGCTACAAAGGTGAGTCTGCTCCGCGTGAATGGGTTCTCTGCGCTCCGGCGCAGGAGCCGCAGCCCTGAGACCCTCGTCCCTGAGCTGCTGCTTTACGGCCTTGGTGGCCATCCCTCACCTGCCCACAGCATCTGGCGCTGTGTCTGGGAGCTGTCAGGCTGGGCCCAATAAGCACCCATCTCACCCAGTGGCCCCTTTCCCAGCGGAGCCCCAGTCTGTGCCCCCCTTGCCCGGCCGCCTCTCTGCCTTCAATCCGTTGTTGTGGAAGCTTCCGGGAATTCTTGCCAAGCAAAAGAGTGGAAGTGGGGGTGTGGTGAGCCTGATGCCTCTCTCCCGTTAACCTTGAAACTGGGTTCCACTCCTCTTAGCCTCAGAAGGAAGAGGACGGGGTGAAGCGGCTATTGGGGGCTCCCTCTGGGACCCTCAGCAGTGGACGTGGTTGCCGGTGGCCTGGTTCAGAAAGCTGGGAAGCGACAGAGTAGAAGATAGGCGTGTGTCCGTAGGGGTCGGGAAGGCGGGCAGGCTCCCTGCCACGTGTCCTTCACGGAAGGTGGGGATGTCCTGTGTGCCCGGCCTCCTGACAGCAGCCTGTAGGGCAGAGGCCCAGGGCAGGTGTGCTGGATGGCGAGGGCAGTTACAGCGGCAGCCCTGGGCCGGGAGGCCCTGACAGGTCCTGGGCTTGGGCTCAGGGTAGTGGGGAGGCAGCGGGCTTGTGAGCGTGCGTGCCGGAGGCTGTGTGGAGAGCCAGGTGGCCCGGCAGGGACTCAGCCCCCACCCCAGCAGCTGTTCCCGGGGTTCAGGCGGCTGACCTCTGGTGGGAAGGATGTCCTTCCTCACTCACCCTGCCACGGTGTGGGCCCTGTTCAGGCAGCCCCACTTGAATCCCAGAGCAGGGTGCCGAAGGGCCCTTCCTGCCCGGTGGCCCTGACACTGGCTGGTGGTGTCCCAGCTCCCTAGGGTGAAGGGCTCTGGGAATGGGGACAAAGGAGCACCCACCTCGGTCCCTGGCTGAGTGACCCCGCAGGTGGCTCAGCTCTGGCGCACCTGTGCCTTCGCTATAGCAGCATTCCAGACACCGAGAGCAGCGGCAAAGTCCAGCGGCTGCCTGGAGCCCCAGGGCTGCCCCCGGGGTCCCGCCCTCTCAGTGGGTGGCACTAGTCCGGCCCAGGTCCCTCAGCTTCGGGGGGGCAGGCGGCTGGGACCTGAGAGCCTTCTGTGTTGCAGTGACCAAGCAGAGGGACTCGGAGATGGGCCAGCAGAGCCTCCTCTTCCAGGTGAGCTCAGGGGTCCGGGCGGGGGGGGGGGGAGGGGGGCCGCCACAGGCGTGCGTCCGTCCGACAGGCGGCGCTGCGACCCAGCCATGTCTCCGCAGATCGACTACCCTGAGATCGCCGAGGGCATCATGCCGCGCCACCGCTTCATGTCTGCCTACGAGCAGCGGATCGAGCCCCCGGACCGGCGCTGGCAGTACCTGCTGATGGCTGCCGAGCCCTACGAGACCATCGCCTTCAAGGTAGCGTGGCTGCGGGGTCCCGGCCCCGAGACATGGGAGCCAGAAAGGTCTGTGCAGGCTGGGCAGGGCGCCCCTCCCATCGGGCTCCCTGGCTTTGTGAGAGGGCGCCTGCTTGGACTGCATAGTGCCCATGGAGAAGGGAGCCGGCAGGGCTGAGCGCCGGGCGGTGAGGCCTTCGCCAGGTGACCTCCGTTCCCGGGCCAGGCTGTTGGGGGGCTTCCCGCAGCCTGCGCCCACGCCTGGCCAGGGTGGCCATCAGTAAACAATGTAGACAGTGACTGCGCAGGGTAGGGCTGGCAGCGAGCTGGCATTGAGGCCAGCTCTGTTTCACTCCAGACTGAACCGTGTGTCAGGAGGGTCATGTCAGGCCGGGGCCTTCCACTGGGCTCCCAGGGCGTGGTCCAGGCCAGGGAGGCTGGTACCTCGGGCTGCGTTGAGCCTCCTGCCTGATGGCGATCCTGAGGTCGCAGGGACCAGGAGCCCTCTCTGTCCCCCGCCCTCCCAGGTGCCAAGCAGAGAGATCGACAAGGCGGAGGGCAAGTTCTGGACCCACTGGAACCGGGAGACCAAGCAGGTCAGTGGCTGACCTGGGTACCTCGACTCCCTCCTGCCCGGGCCCTGGCAGCCCAGTCCCCAGCCGCACCTGCTGAGCCTTTTTTGTCTCTCTAGTTCTTTCTCCAGTTCCACTTTAAGATGGAGAAGCCCCCGGCTCCGCCCAGCCTCCCAGCTGGGCCCCCTGGGGTGAAGCGGCCTCCACCCCCGCTGATGAACGGTCTGCCCCCTCGGCCACCACTGCCGGAGTCTTTGCCGCCGCCCCCGCCAGGAGGCCTGCCTCTGCCACCCATGCCCCCCACAGGGCCTGCGCCCTCAGGGCCCCCAGGACCACCCCAGCTGCCCCCGCCAGCTCCAGGGGTCCACCCCCCGGCCCCAGTGGTGCACCCCCCAACATCTGGGGTCCATCCCCCAGCCCCTGGGGTCCACCCCCCAGCCCCTGGCGTCCATCCTCCAGCCCCTGTGGTCCACCCACCAACCTCTGGGGTCCACCCCCCAGCTCCCGGAGTCCATCCTCCAGCCCCCGGGGTTCACCCACCAGCTCCTGGGGTTCACCCACCAGCCCCTGGGGTTCACCCACCAGCCCCTGGAGTCCACCCACCAGCCCCGGGGGTCCACCCACCCCCATCAGCAGGAGTTCACCCCCAGGCACCAGGGGTGCACCCAGCAGCCCCGGCTGTTCACCCTCAGGCCCCGGGGGTGCACCCACCAGCCCCAGGGATGCACCCTCAGGCCCCGGGGGTCCACCCCCAACCTCCCGGGGTCCATCCGTCAGCTCCTGGGGTCCACACACAGCCTCCTGGAGTTCATCCCTCAAATCCTGGGGTACACCCCCCAACTCCCATGCCCCCAATGCTGAGGCCCCCACTTCCCTCCGAAGGCCCAGGGAACATACCTCCCCCTCCCCCAACCAACTGAGAAGCTGCTCCCTTCCCAGCAAGCCTGGCCCAGGTGCTGCTGCCTTTCCCATGGAGGGAAGGCTGCTCTTTTGTACTATCCCGGCTCATTAAACGGCCTCGCCCAGCCCTGAGTGCGTGGACTCCGCAGCGCCGCCCTCCCGTGTGAATGCTGTGTGGGAGTGCCAGGCATGGCACTATGCCGCATTTGGGCAACTGGGGAGGGCCTGGGGCCCACCGGGAGACACCTGTGGGAGCCTGAGAGGCAGCTGTGCCCTGGAGGTGGCCTGGTGGACAGACCCCACCAGCCATTAGGAGTATGTCTGGGGTCGTGTCCTGGGGAGGGAAGAGCAGAGACTCCAGGATACCCTTGGGGTCTCTGGATAGCCCACTAGCTGTGGGGAGGGTGAACAGGGGACAGGGAGCCCCTGCTGACTTGGGACCCTCCTCCTCGAGGCCCAGCACCCAGGACATCTGGTTCCCCGCCCCCCAGCGCTGTGTAGTCTGGCTGCACTGCTGTGCCTTCTGGGGACGGGCCCTCAAGGACAACGTGTTGACACATTAGGCCCAGCTCTATCACTGCCGGGGAGGGAGATAGGCTGCCGGCGACAGAAAGGGATCTTTGAGAAGGCCACTTTGCCTGGAGTGTGGGCGCCGGGCACTGTCCCCCAAGGTCGCGGCAGAGGATATAGGAGCCCGTCTGCCTGCACAAACACCCCACCTTCCACTTGGCCCACTTAAGGCGGGCAGCCCAGTCCCTCGCATCACCCACAATGCAGGGCCCGCCTCTCGCCCACCTGGCCCTGGTGCTGTCTGCCCTGGGGGCTCTGCTAGGGACTGAGACCCTTGGAGTAGAGGAGCCAGCTGTGGCCACTGGTGGCCTCATCTTTGGAGAAGACGTGGACTGGCCGCCAGGCAGCCCCCAAGAACCTCTGTGCCTAGTGGCACTGGGTGGGGACAGCAATGGCAGCAGCACCCCCCTGCGGGTGGTGGGGACTTTGAGAGGCTATGAGCAGGCCTTCCTGGGAGCCGTGCAGCAGGCCCGCTGGGGCCCCCAAGACCTGGCCACCTTTGGGGTCTGCAGCCCAGGCGACAGGCAGGCCGCCCTGCTCTCTCTGCAGCGGCTGGGGGCCTGGCTTCGGGGCCCTGGGGGACAGCGCCTGGTGGTCCTGCACCTGGAGGAAGGTACGTGGGTCCCAGCCCTGAGCTTGGCATCACTAACCTGGTGGTCCTCCTAGGGAAGATTAGGGGCTGGCAGAGCCCCCACCCCGGGCCAGAAGGCTGTGGTCTTGCTCCTGGGTCGGCTGTGGGTCTGTGGCCTGGGAGGTGGGCACCACTCTCTATCCTGTTCCTGAAGCCCAGTTCTCAGACTTGTGCCTGCTGCAGTGCCAGAGAGACATGCCCATCTCGCCACCCATGAAGAAGCAGCAGGGCGCAGGGACCTTCCTCCCCACAGCCCCATACCCAGGCAGCCTGTTCTCAGGGCCACTACCCTGGGAGACTCCCTAGGGGAAAAGGGCTTCATTGGGAGCCCCAACCCAGAGACTGCAGGGGGGCAGCCCCACCCACAGCCTCAGACTCCCTCCATGCCCGCCCGGTTGTCACCGCTCCCTGGCTGTAGGAAGGCAGCAAAGAGAGGAACCCTCGTACCCCCACGAGGTCCCCTGCACAGCGGCCGGAGTGGCAGGGATGGACCCCAAAGGCTCCCAGAGGCATGTGGGAGGGTCCTGGCCTTCAATGGCTCAGGTGTTCCCTGCTGTCTTGGCTGCAGTGACGTGGGAGCCGACACCCTCGCTCAGGTTCCAGGAGCCCCCGCCTGGAGGAGCTTGCCCCCCGGAGCTGGCGCTGCTGGTGCTGTACCCTGGGCCTGGCCCCGAGGTCACTGTGACGAGGGCTGGGCTGCTGGGTTCCCAGGTACCAGGGAGTTTCATGGGGCAGTTCCCCAGCGGCAGCAGGGGTGTGGATTTGTTGCAGGGTCTGTGGTGCTGGGAGGAAGGGGCGGGTCGAGCCAGGCTGGGTAAGCCTCCACCCAGCCGGGCTGAGGAGGCCCTGCTCTCCGCAGAGCCTCTGTCCGTCCCGGGACACCCACTACTTGGTGTTGGCGGTGGACCGCCCCGCGGGAGCCTGGCGCGGCTCCGGGCTGGCCTTGACCCTGCAGCCTCGAGAAGAAGGTAGGTCCACGTGGAGATGGACGGGGCGCTAGGTCGGCTGCCCCCGGCTCCCAGCCCTTGAGCCAGCCCCCGCCCCCTCACCGCAGGCGCCCCCCTGAGTACGGCCCGGCTGAAGGCGCTGCTATTCGGCGACGACCACCGCTGCTTCACTAGGATGACCCCGGCCCTGCTCCTGCTGCCGCGGTCCGAGCCCGCGCCACTGCCCGCGCACGGCCAGCTGGACACCGTGCCCCTCCCTCCACCCAGGTGCGCGCAGGCCCGGGGGCATGGGGCAGGACCAGGCGGTGGCGGCGTGGCCTCGCACCCGCCCCCAACTCTCCCCACTGCGGGTTCCAGGCCATCCGCGGAGCTCGAGGAGTCGCCGCCCAGCGCGGACCCCTTCCTGGAGACGCTCACGCGCCTGGTGCGGGCGCTGCGGGGCTCCCCGGCCCGGGCCTCGGCGCCGCGCCTGGCCCTGGACCCCGATGCGCTGGCCGGCTTCCCGCAGGGTCTGGTCAACCTGTCCGACCCCGCGGCGCTGGAGCGCCTGCTGGACGGCGAGGAGCCGCTGCTGCTGCTGCTGCCGCCCGCCGCGGCCACCGCCTCCGGGGACCCCGCGCCCCTGCAGGAACCCACGTCGGCGCCGTGGGCCACGGCCCTAGTGCGCCGCGTGACTGCCGAGCTGCAGGCGGCGGCTGCCGAGCTGCGCGGCCTCCCGGGTCTGCCTCCGGCCGCAGCCCCGCTGCTGGAGCGCCTTCTCGCGCTCTGCCCAGGCGGCCCCGGCGGTCCCCTGCGAGCGCTGCTGCTCCTGAAGGCGCTGCAGGGGCTGCGCGCGGAGTGGCGCCGCTGGGATCCGCGCGGGCTGGGGCGGGCGCAGCGCAGCGCGGGGGCCACCGCCGCCAACGGGCCGTGCGCGCTGCACGAGCTCAGCGTGGACCTCCGCGCCGAGCGCTCCGTACTCATCCCCGAGACCTACCAGGCCAACAATTGCCAGGGCGCGTGCGGCTGGCCGCAGTCCGACCGCAACCCGCGCTACGGCAACCACGTGGTGCTGCTGCTGAAGATGCAGGCCCGCGGGGCCGCCCTGGCGCGCCCTCCCTGCTGCGTGCCCACCGCCTACGCGGGCAAGCTGCTCATCAGCCTGTCGGAGGAACGCATCAGCGCGCACCACGTGCCCAACATGGTGGCCACCGAGTGTGGCTGCCGGTGACCCCCGCGCCGCGCGGGCCCCTGTCCCGAGGGGCCGGAGGCGCCCCAGCTCTCACCCCTTCCCATATTTATTCCGCCCCAAGCATGCCCCCAATAAAGACCAGCAAGTAAACGGTGGGGTGTCCTTGCGTGTTAGGGAGCCCGATGGCCTCTCCTCCCGCGCACGCCCGGGTCCGCCCCATCGGCGCTCAGCTGTTCTCTCCTCTGCCTGAAGCGCCCCAATACCGTCTTTGAGGCCCCGGACTCGGAGCCGGGTCCAGGCGTAAAGGAGCAGGTGACTCTGTGGCCGCAGCACTCGCTTTATTTCGCCACAGCCGCGGGGCGTCGAGAAGGGGTCCCTGGGCTGGTGCGCGGAGCGCGGGCCGGCTCAGTCCCGCCCCTTGCCTGCGCGGAGCTTCTGGCGACTCCGAGGCCGCTCCTCCTCGTCGGGACGCCGCGGGGAGACCCAGACCTGCCTCTTCTTGGGCTCGGCGTCCATGGAGTCCCGCGCCCACGGCCTGTGGCTCCCTTCGCGTGACTCCCAGCGACGGGGTAGGGCTTCCCGGGGCTCCCTGGTGGCCCGTGGCCTCTCCTCCTTCCGCGGCCTCTCTTTCTTCGGCCTCTCCTCCTTCCGCTGCTTCTCCTTCCGCGGCCTCCCCTCTCTCCGAGGCCTCTCCTTGGGCCCCCGGTCGTCGAGGGGCGCTCCGTCCTCGCCGGCGGCCTCTCCGGTGGCCTCCCCAGGCTCCCCTTCGTCCTTCTCTGCAGCCTCCCGACTCCTGGGAACCTTGGGTCTGGCCTCTACCTCGGCCGCGGGCGCAGGCGGCGCGGATAGGGGCGCCGAGGCCTCCAACTTCGGCTGCAAGGCAGACACAGTGGGGTTCTGGGGTGAGCGTCCCCCTTCCCCCCGGCCCGGGCTCCTTCCCTGGGGATGAAGGCCTCACTGCCCGCAGTCACTGGAAGGAAGCGCTTACCAGCGGCGACGATGGCTCCCTCGGGGCCGAGCCTGGCGGGACCCAGGGCTCGGGCGCAGGCGCATGGACTGCAGCCTCCCCAGCCACGGCGTCTACAGCGACAGGGTCAGGACCCGAGTCAGCCGGGCCGAGGCTCGGACCACACTGTCCGTCCTCTCTCGCCCCTAGAGCCCCCCTCCCAGACTGTTGGAGTGAGGTTCCCCTGGATACCGCTGAGGCTAAGGATGCCCCCAGCTGTGGGAAGGGACTCCAGGACTCTGCGGAGCGCCCCTCCTCCGAACCTCGCTCTTTCTTTTCTATTTATTTATTTAATCTGAGACGGAGTTTCGCTCTTGTTGCCCAGGCTGGAGTGCTCACCGCAACCTCCGTCTCCCCGGTTCAGGCGATTCTCCCGTCTCAGCCTACCGAGTATCTGGGATTACAGGCGCCTGCCTCCACGCCCAGCTGATATTTTTGTATTTTTAGTAAGAGGCGGAGTTTCTCCAAGTTGGTCAGGCTGGTCTTGAACTCCCGGCCTGAGGCGATCCACTCGCGTCCGGCTCTCAAAGTGCTGGGATTACAGGTGTGAGCCACCGCGCCCGGCCGGAACCTCGCTCTTTCAATTGGTTATTCTCCCCCCGCGCCTGTAGGAGACCCCTAGCAAGGGAGGGGTCGCAGGAGGTGCCCCGGGAGGCGCTCCCGAGCGGAGCCGTCCCCAAAGAGGTCGCAGGAGGACGGCGGCGGAACGCTCCGCGGGAGGAGGGGGTGCGCGAGGTCCGTCGGGAAGCCAGAACCTCCTCTCGGCGGGGCGAATGGGCCCCGCGCAAGGTCCACCCGGGGTGACAGGGGCGCGCGAGGTCCATCACTTAAGGGAAGCGGCACCAGTCTCAAGCGGCTCCAACTGTGGGGGCGCGCAAGACCCAGCCCCGAGAAGGCGGCTCCCAGACCCCACCCTCGCGACCCAGGGCCCTTCCCTGGAGGAGACGGCGCGCAGGTGGACCCCAGCCCCGCCCCACCCCTGGGGAGCCCGCGCTCACCGCGGCACAGCTGGAAAGCCGAGCCCAGCAGCGCCACCAGCGAGGCGAGCACCAGGCACTGGTTGAGCGACACGTCTCCCCAGGGCAGCTCCTCGCTCGGGGCTGGGGGCGGCGGCGGCGGCTGCGGGGGCGGCGCGCTCTGCGCCTTCTTGCGCGCGGGGACGCTCCGAGGGCCTGCGGGGGCAAGTGCGCGCTGCGCTGTGGCCGCTGGTTCCCCGTCGCCCCTTCCCCGGGCGCAGAGGCCAAGAGGGAGGCGCGCGCCCTGAACCCGGTCCTGGGCGCAGGTGAACCCAGCCTCGGGTGCCCAGCAGCTGCCTGGGGATGCCCAGAGTTTCTGGAAGAGAACTTCCCGGAGCTGAGTGGCTTAGCGGGTATTGGCAGGAATTAGCGGAGGCTCCCGGCCCGTCTCCTCCTGCCTGCCACACTTCGGCACCACTCAACCAGGACACCCCCCACCCTTCCCCAAATCCAAGGACCCAGCTCCCGGGACCTGGGCCTCACACCAGTCGCACCCACCCCACACCGCACCCAGGCCTCCTGCAAACTCACTGGCTCCGGCTTTCAGCCTCTCCTTCCCCGTTCCTGGGGTCTCTTTGGCGGCAGGTTCTTTCTCCTTTTCCATCTTCTTCGGCCTGGTGTCCACACTGCGACCCTCAGCCCTCGACTCCTGAGACTCCTGTGGGAATCACGAGACGTTCCGCCTGTTTCCTTCCAGTGCCAAAGCCTCCCCGTGGGCTTTTGAAACCTTCCTCCCGGGGCCAGCCTGCCCCCAACTCTCCAGACCTCCTCAGACCTAAAGGCTGAGGGGTCCCAGCTACTCACGTGGGACAGGCTCCCGCTCCCGGAGTCGGCCAGCCTGGGTGTCCCTGTGGGAACAGAGGGAGAGTCAAGGTTGTGGGGACCCCCAGGCCAATCCCACCCTCTTCCCTGGCTCTGCTGCGTGATGTGCGGGTGACTATACCCATCTTATAGATAAAACGTAGGCGGAGGCCAGGCCGGTGGCTCACATGGAATCCCCGCACTCTGGGAGGCTGAGATGGGGGGATCGCCTGAGGTCAGGAGTTTCAGAGCACCCTGAGCAACACAGTGAGACCCCATCTGTGCAAAAAAAAATTTTTTTAAAGAAAATAGCGGCCGGATGCGGTGGCTCACACTTGTAATCCCAGCACTTTGGGAGGCTGAAGCGGGTGGATCACCTGAGGTCAGGAGTTCAAGACCAGCCTGGCCAACATGGTGAAACCCCATCTCTACTAAAAATTCAAAAATTAGCTGGGCATAGTGGCGCATGCCTGTAATCCCAGCTACTCAGGAGGATGAGGCGGGAGAATCACTTGAACCAGGGAGGTGGAGGTTGCAGTGAGCCGAGATTGTGCCACTACACTCCAGCCTGGATGACAGAGACTTTGTCTCAAAAAAAAAAAAAAAGAAAGAAAGAAAGAAAAAGAAAAGAAAAGAAGCCAGGCATGGTGGCACACCTGTGGCCCAGGCTACTTGGGAGGCTGAGGCAGGAGGATCGCTTGAGTCTGGGAGGTTGAGGCTGCAGTGAGCTATTATCATACCACTGCACTCCAGCATGGAAGACAGAGTGAGACTCTGTCTCAAAATAATTAATAATAAAAATATATTAAAAATACAAAGAAAGTGGACAGGCTCGGAGACAGCTTTGCCTGAAGACTCACAGTACTTCAGTGGCAACGTGGGATTCGAACCTAGATCTGTGAGGCCCAGCACCTGGTATCCTTGGGGTTCCTTACAGACCCCGGAGGCAGAAATGAGGGTCAGGGGTTGAACATGGGAGCACAGCGGAAGCCAGTCCAGCATGGGAGGCTGAGCTCTGCTCTCTGAAGATGGGCCTCCCGGCTCAAGGGGGCCACCGGGGGGGGACTTCCTCCCGCCAGCGCCACAAGGGTACCTGGAGCCCCGTCCTCCTGGGACTTGGCCAGCGCCGAGTGGTCCTCCAGGGCCTGGCAGCTGCCCAGGCCCCCATCCAGCTCCTCCCAGGCTCTGGTTGTCATGGAGACGGCCGGAGCAGCAGCAGGTCCAGGCCAGGCTGGGAGGGGTGGGAGCAAAGCCTTGTCTTTACCGAGTCCCCGCACGGGCCTGGGCCTGACCTGAAGGTTCTGTAGACGTGGACGAACAGGCCCCATCCTCCCCCCGCCCAGCTGGTGATCTCTGCCTCAAGCACCCCTCACTCGGCAAATTGATACTCATGCAAGACATGGCTTGGCGCCCATAGGCACCTCCCTGACCCCGCATGCCTGCCCTGGGGCCCCTCCCTGGAGCCCCGTATCCATCAGCACAGCAGCCAAGGCTGTCCTGGCCCAGAGAGGGCAGGAGCTCCCGCGAGGCCACAAAGCACTGAGTCCAAGACGCACCCGAACCAAGACTCTCGGCCCCAGCGCCAGCTCATGTTCTCTGAGACCAGGGACTATTTTTATCTGGTGCCAGAGGCCAGCGGGACAGGCCAACAGGTGCCCCAGCCTCTCCCAGGCCTCTGCTCTCATGGGGTCCCCCTCCAGGCCATCCTGACCTGCCATTCTGGGCACCCACATCCCCGCCTTGTGACCCTGTGAGGCCACAGGCTCAGGCCCCAGCAGCAGAACCATCCTGGCTCTGGCGGTGACAGGCAGGGCAGGGGAGGAGGGTCCCGGGAGGAGGGTCCCGGGAGGAGGGTCCCGGGAGGGCTTCTGATCCTGACACACAGTAGCTGCCTCACTGTCCCACTAACTCTGTTCCCATATGACAGATGAGACAGAGCCATGGGCTGGAGGTCGCAAGGGACTTCAAGTCAGACCCAAAGCTGTATTCTTCAGGGTCACCATGGGCTCTGGCTGCTGGAATTACAGTGCCCCTGTATCTAGACTGAAAAACCACCCACCCCTGGGGCTCCAAGACCTGGAAGGGGCCTGTCGCGTGGCAGTGGGGGAGGGGCCGACAAGCACGGGAGGTTGGTGTGCGGCCCCCGGATATGTGGGGGCGCAGCTCCAGGAGTTGGGGACCCTCACGGTCCTCCGCAACACCCTCCCACACCCCAGGAGCCCACACCTCTGCCCGGGACTCCCCCAGCCTCACTTCCTCACCCCTCGCCTCACTCACCCGCCGCCGCTGCGCGGAGCTTTGTGGACAGGATAGAGGTGGGGAGGGTTGCCCCGTGATGGATGGCAACAGGTGGCCAGAGACCTCGGGAAGGCCAATCAGCATGGCCGCCAAAGTGAGGTCACTGCCGGGGAGTCCCCCACCCGTCCCTGCCATCCCAGCAGGGAAGGGGCTGCTGTTACTCAGCGCTTGCCACTGCCCCACCAGGGAGAGGTGGCGCCAGCAGCTGGGACTACAGGCGGGCGCCACCACACCAGGCTCATTTTTGTATTTTCCGTAGAGACGGGGTTTCACCGTGTTGGCCAGGCTGGTCTCGATCTCCTGGGCTCAGGTGATCCGCCCACCTGGGCCTCCCAAAGTGCTAGGATGACAGTAGGATCACAGGTGTGAGTCACCACGCCGGTCTCCACACCTAACTTTTTGAAGAGCCACCAGCCTCTTTTCCAAAGTGACTGCACAGTTTTACCTGCCCATCAGCCATCGGGAGTGTTCCGGCTTCTCTTTATCCAACCTGTCACTTTCCAATTGCTTTTTTAAATTTTTTTATTGCCAGCCTAGTGGGTGTGAACGGCATGACATCATTGTGGTTTTGATTTGCATTTCCTTGGTCAAAATAAATAGCTTTTCTTTCTCCTGGCTCACTGCAGCCTCCACCTCCAGGGTCCCGGTTCAAGCGATTCTCCTGCCTCAGCCTCCCAAGTAGCTGGGATTACAGGAGCACGCCACCATGCCCAGCTAATTTTTGTATTTTTAGTAGAGGCGGGGTTTCACCATGTTGGCCAGGCTGGTCTTGAACTCCTGACCTTGTGATCTGCCCACCATGGCCTCCCAGTGTGCTGGGATTACAGGCGTAAGCCACTGTGCCCGGCCTTTTTTTTTTTTTTTTTTAAGATGGAGTCTCGGTCTGTTGGCCAGGCTGGAGTGCAGTGGCACGATCTCGGCTCACTGCAACATCTGCCTCCTGGGTTCAAGTGCGCCACCATGCCCAGCCAATTTTTTTTATTTTTTAATTTTAATTTTTATTTTATTTTTTTTTGAGACGGAGTTTCGCTCTTGTTACCCAGGCTGGAGTGCAATGGCACGATCTCGGCTCACCGCAACCTCCGCCTCCTGGGTTCAGGCAATTCTCCTGCCTCAGCCTCCTGAGTAGCTGGGATCACAGGCACGTGCCACCATGCCCAGCTAATGTTTTATATTTTTAGTAGAGACGGGGTTTCACCGTGTTGACCAGGATGGTCTCGATCTCTTGACCTTGTGATCCACCCGCCTCGGCCTCCCAAAGTGCTGGGATTACAGGCGTGAGCCACCGCGCCCGGCTGTTTTTTTTTTTTATTTTTAATAGAGACGGGGTTTCACCATGTTGGTCAGGCTGGTGTGGAACTCCTGACCTCATGATCCACCCACCTCGGCCTCCCACAGTGGTGAGATTACAGGCCTGATCTACCTCACCGGGCACCTTTTTTTTTTTTTTTTAAAGACAAGGTCTCCATATGTTAGCAAGGTGTTGGAAATAGATGTTCAATGCCACAGAGAAAAATCCACTGAGACAAAGGATCTTTCAGCAACAGAATGTTTACTTCCCGGACTGCAGGAAGGGGACCCTCATTAGCCATGTTGCCACGAGAGTCCAATGAACAGAGGAAAAGCAGACAGATTTATCCTTACACATTTGGGGTCGTCCTTACTGCCGTGTCTGATCTCCGTTGGCTGGAGCCAGACTCTGCAATTTAAACTAAAACCAGATTGGCTAACAACTTAAAACTTTTCTAAACAGGTAAAAGCACTGAGGCCGGGCGTGGTGGCTCAAGCCTGTAATCCCAGCACTTTGGGAGGCCGAGGCGGGTAGATCATGAGGTCAAGAGATCGAGACCATCCTGGTCAACATGGTGAAACCCCGTCTCCACTAAAAATACAAAACATTAGCTGGGCATGGTGGCGCGTGCCTGTAATCCCAGCTACTCAGGAGGTTGAGGCAGGAGAATTGCCTGAACCCAGGAGGCGGAGGTTGTGGTGAGCCGAGATCGCGTCATTGCACTCCAGCCTGGGTAACAAGAGCGAAACTCCGTCTCAAAAAAAAAAAAAAAAAAAAAAGCACTGGAGAGCTGGGACATGCCTGTGAGCACGTCCAGCACAGATATCCTGGTTAAAGTACAAGGACACAGAGTGTACTACGTGCCTGTAAGCATGGCGTGTCTAACAGCTACGTAGGACAGGGCTTCACAAAGTTATTAGCACACTTATTTTTTAACAAAAAAGGGAACTTTAAAAAGGAACTTTTCTACTTCCCACTCAAGGGTAGTCTTAAACTCCTGGCCCCAAGCAATCCTCCCGCCTTGGCCTCCCAAAGTGCTGGGATCACAGGCGTGAGCCAACGTGCCCAGCCTCAAGAGCATTTTCATCTTCTTGTTCTCACAGTGTGTCCCCTTGGATTCCTTTCCTGGAAGGCTCAGCTCTCCCAGAAGCAAAGCCTGGACTCAGGGCCTCTGTGGGGCTTTTTTTTTTTTTTTGAGACAGAGTCTGCCCAGGCTGGAGTGCAGTGGCACGATCTTGGTTCACTGCAACCTCCGCCTCCCGGGTCCAAGTGATTCTCCTGCCTCAGCCTCCCGAGTAGCTGGGATTACAGGTGTGCACCACCCTGCCCAGCTAATTTTTATATTTTTAGTAGAGACATGATTTTACCATCTTGGCCAGGCTGGTCTCAAACTCCTGACCTCAGGTGATCCTCCAGCCTCGGTCTCCCAAAGTGCTGGGATTACATGTGTGAGCCACCGTGACCGGCCTAGTTTTGCTAATTTTGTGAAGAACAGTGTCATCTGAGGGCACTGACTCGCCACTCAGATTCTGACTCTGACTCAGCTGCCCGGCTGTGCCTGTTTCTTTTCCTGTAAAATGGAAATATAATGGCGACCCCACCTCCTGGGCGTCTTGTGAGTGTAAAGCCAGGCATGGGGACAGGTGTCTTGAACTCCTGGACTCATGCAATCCTCCCACCTCTGCCTCCCTAAGAGCTGGGGTTATAGGTGTGAGTCACCATGCCTGGCCAGTTTCGTTTTCTTTAAAGAGATAGGGCTGGGTGCGGTGGCTCACGCCTGTAATCCCAGCATGTTGGGAGGCTGAGGCCAGTGGATCACTTGAGGCTGGGAGTTTGAGAGCATCCTGGGCAACGGAACAACACCCTGTCTGTACAAGAGAAAGAACAAAAAGAAAAAGAAAAGAAAAACAAGAAAGGTCAAACTCCATGAAAATAGAGACGTGGGCCAGGCGCGGTGGCTCATGCCTGTAATCCCAGCACTTTGGGAGGCCGAGGTGGGTGGATCACCTGAGGTCAGGAGTTCAAGACCATCATAGTGAAACCCCATCTTTTTTTTTTTTTTTTTTTTTGAGACGAAGTTTCGCTCTTGTTACCCAGGCTGGAGTGCAATGGCGCAATCTCGGCTCACCGCAACCTCCGCCTCCTGGGTTCAAGCAATTCTCCTGCCTCAGCCTCCCGAGTAGCTGGGACTACAGGCGTGCGCCACCATGCCCAGCTAATTTTTGTATTTTTAGTAGAGACGGGGTTTCACCATGTTGGCCAGGATGGTCTCGATCTCTTGACCTCATGATCCACCCATCTCGGCCTCCCAAAGTGCTGGGATTACAAGCGTGAGCCACCGCGCCCGGCCTTCCCCATCTTTTTTTTAAAAAAAAAGAAAATAGAGACATGGACAGCGTGGGGCAGGAAATGCTGAAGAACTGCGGAGAAATGATGCTCCCTTTCTTCCTCTTTTTTTTTTTTTTTTTTTGAGATGGAGTTTCACTCTGTCACCCAGGCTGGAGTGAAATGGCAAGATCTCGGCTCACGGCAACCTCCGCCTCCTGGGTTCAAGCGATTCTCCTGCCTCAGCCTCCTGAGTAGCTGGGACTACAGGCGTGTGCCACCATGCCCAGCTAATGTTTTTGTATTTTTAGTAGAGACGGGGTTTCACCATGTTGGCCAGGATGGTCTTGATCTCTTGACCTCGTGATCTGCCCGCCTCGGCCTCCCACAGTGCTGGGATTACAGGCGTGAGCCAGCGCGCCTGGCCCTTTCTTCCTTTTTCTGTAATGAAACCTTTGTGAAAACAGTTGGTGGGGCATGGTGGCTCACGCGTGGAATCCCACCACTTTGGGAGGCCGAGCCACGAGTATCACCTGAGCCTCAGGAGTTCAAGACCAGCCTGTGCAACGTGGCAAAAACCCATCTCTACAAAAATATAATAAACAAACATTAGAAATACTACAAAATAAAACACTTAAAAATATAGCAAGGGAGGCCAGGCACGGTGGCTCATGCCTGTAATCCCAGCACTTTGAAAGGCCAAGGTAGGTGGATCACCTGAGCTCGGAGTTTGAGATCAGCCTGACCAACATGGAGAAAACTTATCTCTACTAAAAATACAATATTAGCTGGGCCTGGTGGTGCACGCCTGTAATCTTAGCTACTTGGGAGGCTGAGTTAGGAGAATGAGTTGAACCTGGGAGGTGGAGGTTGCAATGAGCTGAGATCACGCCATTGTACTCCAGCGTGGGCAACAAGAGCGAAACTCCATCTAAAAAAAAAAAAAAAAGTCAGGCCGGGCGTGGTGGCTCACGCCTGTAATCCAAACACTTTGGAGGCCAAGGCGGGCAGATCACCTGAGGTCCGGAGTTCAAGACCAGCCTGACCAACATGGTGAAACCCCGTTTAAGAACAAAAAAGGTGTGGTGATGGGCGCCTGTAATCCCAGCTGCTTGTGGGGCTGAGGCAGGAGAATCGCTTGAACCTGAAAGGCAGAGGTTGGAGTGAACCGAGATCTTGCCACAGCACTTCAGCCTGGGAAACAGAGCAAGAGTCCGTCGCAAAAAAAAAAGAAAAAAGTGTAAGTACAGTAAAGGGAAAAACTGCGACCTGCCCATGATAAGGCCTGCTTACTTGGGGCCTCGCTTTTCCGTGTGTGTTTGCACAGCTCGTCCTGAGGTTGCCCGCACGGCCGTGGGTCCCCCTTTATCACCCAGCAGCAGACGCCCCGGCGGCTCTGTGGCCCAACCCCAGCCCCGTGAGCCTCCCGTGGCCGGAGCTCGTGGCGGGCTGCTCCGTGCACGTTAAAAATGGGCAGTTCCTGTTTCCTTCCCCTTTTCTTCCCCACAACGTTTGCTCAAAAGGGTTCAAAGGCCTTCTGAGTTTTTCTTCAGGAGGCAAGACCAGGACACAGAACCAGGCTTGAACACGATGCCAGCCCGGGTCACGTGGAGAAAAGGAGGCCCAAATCCGTCCTGATTTTCCTTTCTTTTTCTTTTTTTTTTTTTTTTTTTTTTTG